TGCAACAGAGACACCTTAGACAACTCTTAAGAATCAAATAGTATCATCATGTCTCAAACGAATAGGTCTTTGAAAAAGCTAGCTGCGAAAGCGCTGAAATCATGATTACTAAATCTCGCTAAAGATGGGCTGGTCACGTTTGCAGGATACAAGAAAACCGCCTACCAAAATCTCTTCTTTACAGTGATAATTTTTTTGATTTTGAGCTAATAATAGAAAGCAATGGAGAAGAATTGTAAACTCAGTTAACAACGACACCCAAAAAGTAAAGCAGCAACAGGAGATTTTTGAATGTTTAGAGTGCGGAAGAGAGACTTCATTGACACTTTCATTTAAGAGATACTTTTCACTCACAAAAAAGCTCATGAAAGGAAACGCCTTGTGTAACCATCTTTCCATCCGTGTCAAATACTCGTCAGCGAGTAATATGGCAGTAAGTGTGTCCCATACACCTTTTGTTTCTTCCTTTCCACACATAAGGCTTACCAGGTTGGAAAGACTGTGCAGCGTGGTACAACTCCCACTTCATTATCTCCACAATAAAGCTAAGGATCAATAGATAACACCCTAGAAATATCAAGTTTAAACGCTATCATAACACCATATGCCCCTGCAAGAAGTCCGGCCTACTATATTTAAGCTACGGATATTACCCTATTTTAAGATAACCTCGGAGCCACATCGTCGCCTTTTTTGTCATTTCCAAGCCAATTGAGCGCCGTTTTTTTCGATAATACGGTATAATTCTTCAATCAACGAGTGTTAAAAAATGATATGGTCCAAATATGGTCTACCCAACGAGAGAATCCATGACAGTGAGTTGTGTCTGTCATTTTAGTTCACAGGTAATTGTATTAACAGTCATTTTTTGGATGTCTTCTCTCAAAATTTTCCCCGGTTTATTAGTTAATATTTGGTTAACCTTCGTAATGTAATCGTAATGTTAAAATATACCAATTAAGATATGTTTTTTTCTATATATTGAATCAACTTCCTCTACATTTGTATAAAATTGGTAAAATAAATAAAACAGCTTAGTCTAAGAAGAGGAGTAAATTATGCAGAACTTAAAATTCTTGACAATGATTGTCATTCACAGCACCACCTTCTCCTGCAACTTTAGATTCGCTATTAATATGCTCGCTCCAGTACCACACCAGTACGCTATCCATAAAGTGCGCTATAAATATGCAAGGTAATTATTGTGTTATGTGACTATGTATGCAGGTTCAACGAACCCCAAGGTCGTCCGGAGTCAGTGGCGTATGTTCTTCACCGTAGTTACGTCATACGTATTTTAGATCAGAGCTCATTTTAATTCCGCCGTATGAAAAGCAAATTTCATTAAGAATTGAATATCAATCCAATAATGATCTCCACAATCGAAAATCATTCCGTTAGAACGTCAACATGTATAGATAGTCTTCATAATTAAAATAATAGGAAACTGGTCAAGTTTCTTTATTAATCTTACTAATATTATTTTTTATTCTTCTCTACCTCTATCACTCTGGAACAAAATTTAGGTAATCCTACTAGATCATCAGCAAATAGAAAAAACAAACATTATTTTTTAATCTTATATAATTCATCTTCTGTAGATGCTAAGGCCTAAAGTGAGTAAGGTATTTTATTTATCATCCCTTGATATGTAGAATACAGAATGTTAGGAGGGGGTTAATCAGCGCGACCTTACTGATCTACTACTGTGCGTTGTGCGTTCCCCTTTCTTGAGTTATAACGAGTTATGACTCATCATACAGTCTCATGGCTTTGACAAAAGCCAGTATCTGAGAGGACCTGGCAGGAGTATCTGGAGTATAGGAACGGTTGTCGTCTCGGCACACTCAGTAATAATGTGTTCTGGTGTTTCCCCATTTTACCCACAGCATCTGCATTCGCCTTTGTTCCTCAGCTTCAATCTACTGAGGTGTTCGTTGAGGAGACAGTGTCCTGTTAAAAACCCGGTGACAATCCGAAGATTGTTGTTACTCTTTGATTTTTCTCTGTCGTAAGTTCTGAGGAACTTTTTCAAGTGTCTTAGACCGTTGGAGGATTCCCATTCCAGATTATGGATGGAGTCTGCCAGGTTCTTCAGTTCCGTTTTAACTTTTTTCCGCCGTTCAGGTCCAGTTAGTGGAATGTTCGCTCCTTTTCTAGCTAGATCGTTTGTTTTTTCATTGCCTTCTATCCCTTGGTGAGCGGGCACCGAGAGTAGGAGGACCTTATTATGTTTGCCTTATTTCCCTTGGTATTAACTAACATTGGTATTTCCTTGTCCACTTCTGTCTGATCAACCATTTTCGTCCTATTGACATCAGTGGCTCTTTTTCCATAACCTATGCAATCTAACTCAAATCTAAATTCATTTTGTATCTGTAATTTATGTCGTTTGTTGATTGATTGTGTCGGCAATGCCCAACGAATGAAAAAACACCACTGCCAAAACGAACAACGGAAGGTATTCTGAATTTTAAAAGGAAAAGAGACAGAAGAACTGAATAGAAGGAATCCATAAAGCTATGAATGACAGAAATCAAGTAGGGCAATGGGAAGATCGAAAACAATGGAATCTATATAGACATCGAACAACGTTGTCGAACGTTTTAAACTGATATATGCACCTATATCTATCATTTAACTTATTATGGTTTTATGATCTAGGGGAATCCTAGAAGACTGGTTACTTTTCATAAGCACTAGTAAATCCTAAAATGTGTTCATTACTCAATTTCGTAACGCCATAACTATTTTCTATTTTTATTCAAACATCCAGCATACACCTTCACAGCTGTTAGGCACCTAAATAGTTAATTATTGACAGAAACTAATATTATATTAATAGTTACCATATTCTTCAAAATTACATATTTTTCATCAAGAACTAAGAAGCTAAATTCATTAGGCAGTTTATTTACCCCAGCAAGAGCATTACTCTCAATCAAATTAACCATGGAATCGGAGATACAAGAACAACCGCCTTACAGTGCTAGATGTAAAATAATTTCCAAGAACTGGCAAAATATTACAAAAATTAATAGAAAACCCAGACATAATCAATTAGTAATCAACAAATCATGCTATGTTCACAAAGAAAAATAACAATATCATCAAATAATGGATGCAACCAGACGATTAGCCTATGAGATAGAAAGCTTTTATTGTAAATGAAAAAACATCAAAATTTGCTTTTTTCAAGTCAAATTCTTGAAATCAGACGTATGGTTTGTCCAGCGAGTGAATAGGTACGATTTGGGCAGATGATATTCCAAAAATGGAAGAAAAAGACGCTTTTGTGTTAAAATTATAAAAAATTACCTCAGTCACATATGGATTGCTGAATACACCATTTATATACAGGGTGGGCCTCTGAAAACTATAATGGCTATAATTTTAAAACCAAAGATATCATAAAAATAAAAAATACCGTTTCAATAATATCTTGTGGCGCCTTTTTGGAAAGCCCATGAAACCAACGATGATCATAAAGTTAAACCAAACTATACGATGATCATAAAGTTTTTAGAGTGAAATTGAAAAACTACCCCTTACACGAAAAATTAGGTGGACATTAATGAAAAAAGTTATTTTTTCAGCATAAGTTACAATGCTGCTTAAATTGGACAGAGACAATAGGGACAGCGCAGCGACAATTTATTTTATTTATTTATTTCGACCTCAGGAACACGTCTATGAGGTTTTTTTCGTTATAAAAAGATGTTGAAAATCGTGCATTTTATTTTAAATTTTCCTGTATATTTTTCGAAAACTTTTAGAACTGCCTGTTTACCGCAAACTTTTCCATTTTTCTGATCTTTTTTGAAAAAATTCCCAATGGTTAATTTTTTCAAAAAATTGATTTTTTTGAAAAAATTTTGAGAGCCACCGGATTTTTTCTGTATCCCTTTTATTGCCGTAACCATAGAGTAAAGCCGCAAGTATGGTAATAAGAGATTAAGAAATTATACCGTGGGAAAATTTGCGGTGAACAGGCAGTTCTAAAGTTTTCGAAAAATATACAGGGAAATTTAAAAGAAAATGCATGATTTTCAACATATTTTCTTAGCGAAAAAAACCTCATAGGCGTGTTCCTGGGGTCGAAATATACCAGTCCTGAAAATATTTGCACTTATTTAAGACTCACCCTGTGTAATGTGGCCAACAGGAGAATTTCTGACCTGACAGTTCTGTCTGTCATTTTAATTCACAGCCAAATTGCCGTTTTTTGGATCTCGTCTGTCAGGAAAGCTACCCTGAATTATTGGGCAGACTTTATTGAATTTTTCTTTCAACGATGATTTGATATGTTTGGCGCACATAATATCTAATTTGAGGAAATGATATAAAGTATGTGTATTCTAATTCTATATTCTACTAATAATATTTGTACTCCCCTTAGTAATTTTACTTAACTTTTTTCAATTTTTTTTTTTCATTTTTTATCATTTTATATACAATAACATATTTTTCATTTTTCATGAACTTTAAATCAAAGAGATTAAGGTACATCATCAAATATAACCTATAAAACGCGCGAGACAAGTCACAGAGGCTGCCATCTAGTATCTAGTTTAAAAAGAAAAGGTAATTCTAGTAACTCAATAGTTAGAGTTCTACCTTTTACCAGAGACAGCTACACATTTATGATTTTATGGATCTACCGATCTACTTATTAAGTGTACTGTGATTTTCCGTTATAGTTTTCTGGACTAGAATGTAGTTGATCACATTTTAAAAACAACTCATTTATTAATGAATTTGTAAATTTACTATATATTTATTTACTTACCATAACCATTGGGAATGCAGTAGAAAATACTTCACAAATATATTAACAAATAACTGCAAATAAATTGTAAAAATCTCTCAAACTAAACCTCAACTTAGAAACACGGACCAGCGACCGTCGTCGTTTCTTCGATTTAGGGTTAGTTCTTTTACCATTTATCTTCTTTTAGTTTTTAGTCTATGGTGGTCTATGGTTAAGTAAATTGTTGCAGGTTATGAGTTTATTAAAGAAACTTTCTGTTAATCAATAATATTAATTTTGATGTTACCCTTGATTAAAGGATGTTACTAAGCTCATAAATGTTAAAACTGATATCTAGAACAAGTGGAAGTAAAAATAAAAAGCATTTTTCCCCTATTTTTCGTTTGTGCATTTTCTTTTAACTCTTATTGTTTATTTAACAATTTCCGTCAATATGTTATATGTCTTATATATTAAAAAAATATATTTTAAATTGTCTGTTTTAAACTTATTTAGTTTACGTAAAACTATCCGTCTGCTATCTACATGAGCTACATCTCCTACTAATTGCTCTTGTTTTAAGTTCAACCTAAAAAAATAATATTATAGGTATTTTTATTTAATTTAATTTATAAAATCTTACTTTAGGACCACCACACATTCTTTCTCTAATTGCCCACCTTAAATCTTCCCGCTTATCTTGCCCAGGAATTTTAGATTTTTTCCATTCTGATTGATAATGATGATATAAGGCTACTGGATCACATTTGTTAAATGAAGGTTTGGACACCGTGGGTCGTATAACTAGTAATATAAAAAAATCACTTCATAAAAATAATTTAAACACAAAAAATAGTACATAAAATATGTATATAGTACCACATAATATATTTTAAATTTGAAGTCTAAATTTACTTACATGATACTTTAGATTTTTTATCTTTCACGCTTGTCTTACTAGATCTAGAGGAAACGGGTTGTGTACTAGAAAATGTAGAGACATTTCCATGCAAATTACTAGAGTCGGATTCTTTATTAAGATCTTGTTTATGTGAATGAAAGTTACTATTATCATTAATATGGATACAGTGTTCATGTAAAACATTCTTCTTTGTTTTACTCTCATATATATGTAAAGAAATATGTTTATTTTTATGTGCATCAAGTACATTTGCATTAGTTGGCTTTTCAGATGGAATATTTAATCCTGTTTGTATCCCACCATTATAAATTGACTCGTTTGCAGTAAAATCCATTTTATTTTCAGAACATTCGCAATATTCAGATTCTTCAGGATCTGGCAGAACATTCTCTCGCTCAATATTATATCTTTTATCATACTTCATTAGCTTTTTTAGATCTAAAAATTCGGAAGCAGTTTATTAACTAGGTATCTATATTATACATAAATATGTTATTGATTTAATATCAAACTTTCCCTTACCCACAATAAATTCCTTTAGCTGAGTAGCAGTTACATTTGTGTAGCCTAGATTATTTAAATAAATTAATACTTCTTTGGGATCCACTTTATAAGACATATTAAACTGTAGTAATATTAAATAGCAGAAAAATAAAATAATTTAAAATAACGAATAACCAAAAAGAAATATAAAAATTTGACATTTGTGATTTTATTAAACGCCAAGAAAAACAGCATGGATTCTACTCTGTGGTAAAATATGTTTATGATGGTATTTTGTGTTTTTTTATTAGTTTATAGTTATTTTAAAGAATAATTCACAATATTAACAAATTACCCAAATTACAAACAAATAACTGCACTTAAATAAATTATTTTAAATTTTTAAGAACTTTATCAATATAAATACTACATTGGCATCTGGGATCATATATATGTCACATGATTTTTACTGCCTAAAATTTTTCTCAGAGAAGAATATATGGATAAATGAACAAACAATTTCTCCTAAGAAAGAACTCGTTTTGTAAAAGAAGAAAAAACAGAGAAACTTCAGTTGTAGTGTTTGTAAATAAATATCACTGATTTCTGATTTAAATGTAAAATATTTTTATAAATTATAAAAAGTTATTTTCAATTATGGATAAATATGAAGTAGTAGGTACTTTAGGTGAAGGATCTTTTGGTCGCGTTTATAAAGCAAAACAAGTTTCAAATGGATCCTTCGTAGCTTTAAAAGTTATCAGTAAAGTATGTTTAGAATTATGTATGAATTACCATTTTCCACACTATTAATTTTTAGCGAGGACGATCTACAAAAGAGTTAAAAGGGTTTAGACGAGAATGTGAAATTCAAAGGGATCTGCATCATCCCAATATTATTCAAATGTTGGATTCTTTTGAGACAGAAAATGAAGTGTGTATTTTGTATCTAAACATTACTTAGAATTATAAAAAAAAATCTTTTTAGATTGTAGTTATCACTGAATTTGCACCAAGAGAACTTACTGCTATTTTAAGTAAAGAAGGATATCTGTCAGAAGAAAAAGTCCAACAAATTGTATGGGACTTAATTTCAGCACTTTATTACTTACATTCAAATAGAGTTTTACATAGGTTTGAGAAATTTAATTGTTCTCTACCGCAGTATAAACTGTATAAATATTATATCTTTTAGAGACTTAAAACCACAAAATATTTTACTAGATCTAAAGAGTCGTGCAAAACTATGTGACTTTGGGTTTGCAAGAAATATGAGTACAGGAACGCATGTTTTAACTTCAATAAAAGGTCTGAAAATGGGTAGTAGCCAACCATTGATTTTAAAATTTGGTTTAAAATTGTAGGAACACCTTTATATATGGCTCCAGAATTAATTGATGAATTACCTTATGATTATAATGCAGATCTTTGGTCATTAGGTTGTATCACTTATGAACTATTAATGGGTACACCTCCATTTTGTACTTCTTCAATTTTGCATCTAATAAGGATGATTAAACATGAGCAAATTCAGTGGCCAACGTTTTTATCTCCAGAATGTACATCTTTTTTAAAGGTTTGATTAAATATATTATAAATGAACTTTTTTACATTTTATTTTTATGGAACGTTAGGGATTATTACAAAAAAATCCAGCGAAAAGATTAGCTTGGGAGCAAATCCTTAATCATCCCTTTGTAAAAGGTCACATTTTAATAACGAAAACTACAGGACCCATGCCATTAACAGCGGCCCTTACAGCTAGTACACAAGAAGTTAAAGAACAACAAAGGAAAGATAGTATAAATAATAAACATTTAAAGTAAAAATGTTTGATATATATATATATTTTTAATTCCAACACTAACTATTAAAAAACATTTAAGAGGTGCAGTATCGAGAACAATAAGTACAGACAATGATCATACAAAACAAAATATTAAAAGTGGGAAAACGTCAAATGAAACAAAAAAATCATCAGGAAACCAAAATAATAGTAAGTGTAGTAATCCACAGGAGTCTAGGGAAACTCACCAGTCACTTGAAGATAAACGCAAGAGCAAAATTATTAGCAGTAAAGAAGAGGAAAACTTAAGTAAATGTAAGTTGTAACCTTTATTAAAAGGGCCTACTCAAATTTTATTATTTAAAGGTTTGAAAGAAAGACTTAATTTTATTGAAGACAGTCATCCAATTGAACCAGATGAATGGGTTGTATTCCTTCAACGTTCCATTCAGGAAGTTATGAATGGCGAAATAACTTCTCTTACGCAGCCAAATCTTACAAATATAATTGTGTCGCCTTTAAAAAACAGCAATTCGAATAGCAAAGTTCTCTGTTTTGTGGCAAAACTTTTATCAATCGCATTCGTAATAAAAGATATATCTACCGAACAGATTGAACAAATAAAAAAGGTAAAGAAAAAAGCGTTTAAAAATTGATAATACAGGGCTGCGTTCAGGTATTGAGGGTAGACGCACTCCAGATATAAAATTTACGCCCTGCAATTAAATAAAAGAATATTCTTACAGAGAAAAAGAGAGAGGGAGACATCCTAATCTAATTTTAATATAGTGGAACAAGAACAAAAATCTCTAGGTTTTTGCGTCACGTCCAAATAGATTGTTGTCCTCAATGCCTGAATGCAGCCCTGTAGTATATGCTGGACGCGCTATAAAATTTGTAACAAATGGGAAAAATATAAAAATAAATTAGGTAGAATTGCTATATAACATACCTACAAAAATAGTAATTTTAACAGTCATGGAACATTAAAAAAAATCAGGTAACAAAAAGTGGGTAAAAAAAATCCAAAGCAGGCAAAGAGAAAAGTTGTTCAAAGTTAAGTTAATTTTACAGCTTTATACGAAGTTCCATAAAAATACAGGGACTTTGATTTTCATTTTAATAATTATTAATTTTTTAATTATCTTAAAAAAGTAATAAATTGTCTTTTTTCCTTAGAATGACATAAGACAAGACTAATCTAAGAAAAATAGATGCTAATGAATTTAAATTAAAGTTTTCTTATTTTTCTGATATTTTGTCACATAAGGCCACTTTACGTATACATTTTGAAGAGGCTTGTTGTAATTCGCCCCCATGACATATGTTAAAAAAATTTATGTCAATGTCAAAAATATAAACTTATGTGAATAACTAAATAATAAATTTACCATTTGTTGCGACTTTATGACACACCCTGTATCCTTTGTTTCTTCTTCCAGGTCTATTTAGAAGTGAAATTAGTTCCAAATTTAATTTATGCAACCAAGCTGCTATTGAGAATTACCAAGTCGGGCCATTCAACTTCCTCGTCCAATTCACATTCAAACTCGTCCCAGGATAATTCAGTTAAATTACACAGTTATAAAACAGCCGATGTACTCGAGGTAGAAGATCTGCAGGCTCTAGAAAGTATATTTACCTTAGTATGTTATTTGGTTCACATGCAAGACGAATTCTTAATACAGTTTTGTGATGCTGTACTTATTTTAAATGTTTTTGGTTTGATCAATTTATTTCTCTGCCTGGGTAAGTAATAAACGTTATCCCTATATTTTGTTTCCAGTATTTTATTGGGTGTGCAATAAAATTTGCAAGAAATATGGGGATTTTTTTTATTATTGACATATTAACAGCAGCTTATGCGGAATTACTTCAACATGTTCAATAACAAAAAAAAACATTTTTATACATACATTGAAATTATTTTTTATGTCTTTCCTTATGGAATTCTAACGAAAAAGTACTATTTTTTATTCGAAAAATAATTATTGAAAAACTGTTTTTAAGTCATATATATATTTATGTAACTTATATATAGTCGTAAAATTAAGTTCTTTGACTTTTTTCCATATAATTGTCATCTAAACCCTCGGTGTGCCTGAAGAGGATTTTTGGGCATACATCAAACTCAATAATAAAAAAGACCATTTGTTTTGTTGTGAACTTTTTGTTAAACCCTCTTTTAAAATGTCTAATTATTAAAAATCTAACAAAATCGTGTTTTATAGAAAATACTAAGAAAATCGATATAAGTACAATTTTGCTTGAACATTCTATAGCTGTTATTCTTGTTTTTAAAATATTTTTTTCCAATGTAAAAAAGAAAACTTGGTAGATACTTAATATGTATATTAATATAAAAAAGGAGATTATCACTAAATAATGTATATCAGTATCTATAATATAATCCTACAAAATATAGAGTTTAGATTTTTTTTTATATTCTGGATCTATTCTTGTATTTGTTTTTTTAGTAAGAAGAAAACCAAGAATTACCATTGATGTATTATCCATTTTAACTCAAACAATAAGGAGATTACCAGAAAATACCGAAATAGTTGAAAAAATCTTACTAAATTCATTGTCATCCAATAATGAAATTGATTTTGGCGACCTCTTGCGCAACTCCAATCCGATCTTAAGAGAAAGGAGTTGCTATTTTATACTGTTAATGGGAAAATATTTTCAAGCCAGTACATTAGAAAAGTTCTGGTCTATTGAGATTCAGGATACTCTTGAAGCTTTAATGTTTGATTCCATGCAGAATGTGCGCAATGTAAGTGTTATACTTTTTTTGGCAGTGACGTGTTTACTTAACATGGAAGAAGACCCCCGTACACTTCGGAGATTTTACACGGTTTTAATCGAACGGGTAGGACTGTTCAGTTAAAAAGGGCAGTGTATGTATGTCCAGTCCAGTTTTGGCCTTACTATGATACATAGATAATAAAAGAAGTTTAGATTGGAAAGTACCCATAAGGACAATGTAAATACTGTTTGGCGCTATTCTTGCAACGATCGCGACATAAAGCTTTTGATAATTTCGGAGCGGTTTGGCTTTTCCGGACTTATGTCACCAAATAATATTGTTTATTCAAATTTATTATTATTTTCTTTTAATTTTATAAATATAACACAGTGTGTTGCATATAGGAAACTTTATTTTATATACGGACGTGGAACATTGGAAACCGACGTTATACCACGATGGTTTTTGCAGTTCACAGTTCACACAGCTTAAGTTTTTTTAATGCGACTTTTTCACAATTATCAGGGGTTTGAGTAAATAAAATTTAAATTAAACTTGGCAATAATTACTTTGAAAATAGACACTTTAAACACTTTTCGGTATTTTTTCAATGCGGGCTGTTTAAATTTTGAAAGATTTTATAATTTTTGAAGGTTTTTACTCTGACAAGAGAAAATTCTTTCTGTTCTTATTTGCGCTTGTTCTTAGAAACCGCTATAGCAGCACCATATCCCATATGTCCGTATATCCCGTATGCGATCCAAAACAATTATACGTTTTCATCTTGATTTTCATGCGTCCGTTATCCGTTGATACGATGGTCCGACGGCGCTCTGAATTCCGTTATCGTAATTCCGTTATTCCGTCCGTTATCGTACGATCAGAATTGAAGATCGTACGATAACGGACGTTTTGACACTTTTTTGACAAATTTGATCTAACCTTAATAAAAATATAATAGTACAACGTCGGAAAAACGAGAATTTTGAGAAAGCTGATACTTTAATATATCTTTTGCTATGCTTTCCTGACCAAGTGCAGACCGTTTGGCTGCCGGTAGACTACTGCGGTTCACTACTGCCCATCACATCTGTGAGAGTATCCCATTTCCGTGTGTTTTATGGGATTTATCGTTTATGAGCAGAGATACAATGATGCGAATACTTTTTTATGAAACTAAATATGCTACACATATGTTTGTCCTAGCCTCCTTAGTTCCTGAAATACAGGGCGAATTTGTGATGCGCAATAGTGAACAGATATTCAATACAAATATGATGCGCAGTAGTGAACGCCACGTCTACCAGTCAGACGGTCCGTGCTCTGTTCAGGAGTGCATAACAAAAGATATATTAAAGAACCAGCTTTCTTAAAATTCTCTCTCTAAAACGTTGCTAGCTATAAGTAACGACTATAAGTAAAACAGCGAAATCGTTATGGAAATGAAAATATAAAATGACACCAATCACAAGCAAATCGTACATCCGATGAACGGAGGCATGAAAGTGCTATAAATTTAAAAACTGCCTCATTTTCTAACCAATTAAAGTCTTTAAATTCAACCAATAAAATTAATATCGTATCATCGTGTCATCGGATAACGGATGCATGAAAATCAAGCTTTAGCGGGAAACCGAGCATTCCAATCTAAATTTATTTCCTTTATCTATGCTACGATAAGATCAAAAATATAGTTTGTACAACGACACAGACAAAAATATATTTTCTGTCATTTCTGGGTCTTCCCCTTCCATAAGGTGTAAACACGCCACTCATTTTTAAGACGACTAACTTTATCATCGCCTTAATTTTCTATAAATCCCTGTCAATAAGTTGATAAGAAAAATATATATATATTTAATTGACTTTTTAGGCAGCCGAGGCGGCGGTAAATGAGTTGAAACATAAGGATTTTTATATTAAATCCTCTACGTCATTTTAAAAACCTAAAATCTAGATAATATCCTTGTTTATATAGTCCTATATTTATATAATTTTATTATGTGAGTCATTTATAGGTCTGATAATTATTATTGGTACATATTTATAAGTATAGGAATAGCACTTTTTTCATTATTTTTTATACATATGTTCAAATAAAAAATATTTCCATATATAAAACAATTTTATTTAGTTCTTCGTACAAAATTAAAACAGAATTTACAGAACATTATCCAATTTTCTGCATAATTTATTAAAGGACAATTCGCTAATAACAAATACTGACATAAGCATTAAAACTATGTTATTTAAAATTTAATATTGTATATTCAATCCAAACCAATTAATACAAATTTATAATCAGTTTTGCAGTTCAGTTACCCTGTAGGTAATAAACATTTCCCCACAAAAAGTTCTGCCATTTGTAATAAATATATTTCAAGTTTTGTAATAGGTATATTACAAGTTTTGTAATAAGTATATTACAGGTTTTCTAAACCATGTGCTGCATAAAACTCTGTAAGCCTTGCAACACATGCCATCATTCTTTGGTGATAAATTCTCATGTCACGTAAAACGTGTTCATCTCTGTTATGTCTGTCTAAAGCCAAAGTGTAGAATAAATTCTTGCGACTTGGAATAAATCTTGATAACACCTATACATAGATAAATCATTCCTTAATTTAATGTATTAAAACTTTTTAACTTATTGTTAAAAAAAATGTACAAAAATAACAAGGAACATAATAGCGTCTTCTATACATATATTAAGTTTTAAGACTCATTATTTTTGTTTAATATAAGACTTTACTTACATTAAATAATTGTGAACCTAACCAGCCATGATAAGGTTCAAGACTTTCTGAATAAGCTTTTTTCAAAAAAGGCGCTAAATCTTGAGTGTTCCTATTAGTGTCACTGTCAATAATTATATATTGAAAAAAAGTGCTTAAAAAATGCAATGCCCTAGAAAACCACAATTTATATGACTGAACAGAATTTTATTGAATAATATTACCTTTTAAGCCAAATCAACGATTCTGTTGCAAACAATTCACCTTCAACTTGTTCTTTTAAAATCATTGTTTCAATTTCATGATGTGACTGAGAATCTTCCTCATATTTTTTTCTTATTTTCTGAAAGTGAAAATGTAATTTCCTTGTTCAAATGAATATTTTTCCTTACATTAATATTTCCATTCATATCAGAGACAACAGGGGCAAATACCTTCCCGAATTTTTCTAGGAAAAAAACTTATATATTGGTGAAGTTTAAAGAGATTTTTACACTCACCAACAATAGTGACAACACCTGAAGAGGCATCAAGAAACTCTATAGTTTTTAAATTTTCATTAGCATCAGGAAAGTACACAGCTATTGATGTAAATATGGTTCTATTTTCCTCGTTGGAAACGGCACCGTCTTTTAGAGACATTTTTAATTAATTTAACGTCAATATGGTTTAAATTCGATAAAACAAAAGATAGTCTCACAGTAATCTTCATATTATCAGCGAAATTTATCTAAATTATTGGAATTAATAAATTGAGATAAAAGTTATCTTTTTTAAAACAACATTTTAAATACCTAACTAAAAAATAACTTGCTTCTCCTTGATCACAGAATACGTAACAAACGTAACCAAAATACAAATTATCCTTATCTTGATTATTCAAAATCAAGGTGTATATTGGGTTGTATAAATAAAGTAATAGTGAGAAATTATGTAGTTATTTAATTACTTTTAATTTTAATTCTTATTTAAATTATAAACATTTCTAGCTTATTGATTATTTGATTTAATACATTTTTTCTTTTATATTATTATAAATTTATTTAATTTACGTCATTATTAAAGAAATGAGAAAATATATGATGTGCAATATTCCACAAATGTTTTCTTTGCCATATATATTAGAAAGAAGATGAATTTTTGATTTTTACGACTTAACCTTAATTTAAAAATCTAGAACTAGAAAAGCTACTCAAAAATCTACTTGGTTTATTTTCGGCACTGTTTTGTTTCTATATTTGAAGCTGTTTTATTTGTCAATATTAAAAGCTTTGTACAGCCACAATGGTAAAATTAACAGCGGAAATCATTCAGAACTCGCTGCAGTATATAAATCCAGTTAAAGATCGAGAACTTGATCTCCGAGGTTAGTTCTAGGGGTGGTTCTATATATAACATTTTAGATATTCACAAATATTAATTATAATGTTTCTGTAATAGGTTACAGGATTCCTGAAATTGAGAATTTAGGAGCAACAGGCGATCAATTTGACACAATTGATTTTTCAGAAAATGATGTTCGCAAATTAGATGGTTTCCCATATTTAAAGCGACTGAAATGCCTTATGTTAAACAATAATAGAATAGTGTAAGATGAATAATGGTGATTTAGTAATTGATATTGAAGTTTTTTTCTTGATTTTAGTCGAATTGGTGAACATTTGGAAGAATATATTCCAAATTTAGAGAGTTTGATTTTAACTGGAAATCAAATTGAAGATTTAGGTGATGTTGAGCCCTTGACTAGCTTGGAGAAGTTGACTACTTTAAGTCTTTTGCACAACCCTGTTACTGCTAAACAGCATTATCGACTGTATATTATTTATAAACTGCCTCAACTAAAGTTATTGGACTTCAGAAAAATTAAAATGAAGGAAAGGGAGGAAGCTAAAACTTTATTCAAAAGTAAAAAAGGAAAAGAGATACAAAAGGATATTATCAAGAGATCTAAAACATTTGTCCCTGGTGGAAGTATGCACAACATTGCTAAGAGTAAAGGTAGTAAATTTTAATTCTTAAAGGCAGTGTCAGTTTTGTTAATCAATTTTCTATAGGGTTGTCTGATGAAGAAATTCATAAAATCAGGGAAGCTATTAATCAAGCAAGCTCATTAGAAGAGGTTGAGAGGCTGCAGAAAATTCTTCAGTCTGGACAAATTCCTGGGAATGAACTCAATGGTTAGTATTTTCTGTTATTTAATACTGAACTTTGTATATTGTGGATTTTAGGTCAACGGAATGGGCAAGCTATGGAATATGAATAATTTTAATTTTAGGACAGAAAGGTAAATTTTTTGTCAATCTTTTTGAGATAAAGAATTTATATATTATAATAAAAATTTGATTTTTTTAGTAAACTGATAAGAACACTACTAATTTTTTTCTATTTAAATACTTTTTTTAATTTGTACCAGCAAATATATGTTAAAGAGGTCAAGAAGCGATTTGGTTTTAATGTGGTATAAATAAAAATAATATTCTTTACTTAATGTTTTATTTTAAAAAATGTATAAATCATATGTTATCAGCATGTAAATAATATAAAAATAAATAAAATACGAAGAAACAACTTAATAAATACATCCTAAATTAAAAGATAGACAATGGAGAGATGGAAATATGTCACCTAAAGTCATTAATGTTTTGGTGTCGGGCCTGTCTTTAGGATTTGGCTGTAAAAGTAAATTTAATAGGGCTTGCATCTGTTTTCCATATCTTTTAATATTAATTGACTTCAATTTTCCATTAGCAATTGATAGTACAACGTTAGAAATCTGAAACAGAATAGGTTTAAAATATTATCTTAAAGCAAAATTGATCTTAATATACAGTTCCTTCAAACATTTTTTCCATTTGACAAAGCTCATATAAAATACATCCTAATGCCCAAATATCACTTTTAGTGTCATAAGGTTTTCCATCACATAATTCAGGAGCAACATAATTATAAGTACCAATAATAGTTCTTGCTTTATTATTACTAAAAGATATATAAGTTTAGCATCAGAGAAAAAAAATTAACATCAAAAGGTAATTACCAAGTTAGTGGTTATACTTACTTGTAAAGTAATTTTGAAATACCAAAGTCACCAATTTTTATTACATCCTGATGAATACCAGTCAAAAATATATTTTCACATTTTAAATCTCTATGGATAATGCCTTTTTCATGTATATGGTTTAACCCCATAAGTATTTGACAAAAAAAGTTTATTACAGCCTAAGATAAAATAATTTTAGATATGAATCAATAAAACTATTCAAATTTCAAATACTTACCTGGGGAGATAAATATTCTGGTATTTTTTTGGCAATGTATTCTTGTAGACATCCATGTTCAGCATATTCCATCACAATATAAAACGCGCAATTCTTAACGTAACTATCATGGTAGGCTATAACATTAGGATGGTCAAGTGATTTTAAAATTGATACTTCATTTTTTGCATTTCTTAAATCGTCTGCATTTAGATCCGTAACCATTTCTTTAATCACTAATTTTTGCTTGTTATGTTTTCTTTGGCATAAATATATAGTCCTACAGTTTATTTTAATATTTATAATTTTAATTACTAAATAAATACCTTTAAAAATTACCCAAAGGTCCCTCTGCCAAGTTTTTCAAGCACATCGTACATATCCATTATAAATCTTTAATATATGCGCTTTTGGGTAGAATACACAATACAGTATCTAAAAGTGTTTCTCTAAACTGTTTACAGATGTTTTATACATCAATATTTTTTTATATTTTTTGTCTTGTATAAATAAGTACTAAAGGTTATCATAGACGTTTTGTTTAGCAGTTCTGCTACAATTTTATTATTAAATAGTTTTCCTCCCAACTGTAAGTCAATTATAGTAACTATTTGTTTGTGTATTTTCTTGATTTTTTCAATAACATGTATTATCTATCATAATAGATGTAAGTCTGTAGATAGAAACTATATATTTATAATATATTATTTCTCTATATTTATAATACATATACAGGGTGTTTCAAAAAACATGTGCCATCTCGCGTGGAGAGATTCCTCACACCAAAATAAGATTTATTTTTCATATCAACATAGGTCCGATTCGGCTTTGTTTTGTAGTTACAGGGTGTTAAAGTCGTAATATTTTTTCTATTATAATTTTCTTCCAATATTAAATAAAATAATACGACCAAATGAAATTTTGAGGGTAAAAGTTACTGTAAATGCGACATATTTTAATGCTAAAAAGGTACCCACAGATTCATCACGGACATGCATATGGGTCATCACTGAAATATTTTCCAAAAAAAACCATATGTCCGCCACTGACTTTTTTCTTTTGATAGCAAAATTGTATAGGCCGTTTAATATCAATTAAAAGTCGTATCTTGTTATTTTGTCGATTTCGATCTCCTTGATGAGATAAACGCAATTTTATAAATCACAATTATTAATAAAATTAACAAATTATTTATTTTATCTAATTTAGTATTAAATATTATTACTATTAGTTATTTCTATTCGTTCAACCTACAGCAAATTCAAATAAAAAAATAATGGAATTTAAGATAATTAGAAAAGACCTAATTTTAAAATGTTTTAAAATCCTGTAATTTTAAAACTATGCATTTCCATATCCATGTTTATAGGAACTATTTTTCATATTTTTGATCAGGAATCAATGAGTACTTATTTAAAACTTTCGCAAGTTAATGATATTAAATTTTTTTAAAAGTTGCTATTGGACTGGGACCAAAGCAAATTAATAAAATTGCGTTTATCTCATCAAAATCGACAAAATATCAAGAGACAACTTTTAATCGGCATTAAACGACTTACACTATTTCGCTTACAAGAGAAAAAAGTCAGTGGCGTACATACTTTTTATAGTAAAAATATTCCAGTGATAATGGTCCCTGGTATAATTTCCACACTTTTTTAGCATTAAAATATGTCGCATTTACAGTAACTTTTACCCTGAAATTTTCATTGAAATCACTATAAGTACTTGGAAGAAAATTATAATAAATTGAAAAAAAAGACATTAACAACCTGTAGCTATGGAACCAAGCCGAATCGGACCTATGTTTATATGAAAATTAAATCTTATTTTTACGTGAGGAATCTCCCCACGAGAGATCGTATGTACATGTTTTTTTGAAACACCCTGTATTGTTTCTCATGTAATTTATCATATTTAAAATTAAATTATTGCCTGTTTAGATGTACACTTGTTTTGTTTACATCAAACGTAAATTAAATGCCAAGAAAGTGTACTTTTAGTATTTACTCCTACAGTCATATTCAAGCGGGTAAAATTCTCAAAAATGAACGTCGCTGAGAGTCTTTAGTGTTTCCAATTCTCAGTTGTTCGCATTTTAAAAACTTTTTATAAGATGTTCATATATATTTATCAACAGAATGTATAAATAGTAACGTAGAAACTAAAACTGGGTACTTGCAGATACTTGTTAAAAATTCATGGTATAGGTGTCCTATATTATTTTTAACGCCGATAATATAGGTTTTATTTATTGGTATATTTCATTTATTTATTAGCTTTAGGATTAGACTCTTATTGTTCACAATTGTATATTTTTAATTACTGTTTACAAAGCAGCTACGCAGCTACCATATTATGCTATTTTGCATTTAAAAAAGTTTTTCGACAAGATTAGACTATGACATTCTACAAATCCTTCTTATATCTTAATAAATGCTATTGAAATACTCGGATAAACTGTTTTGTCGTATAATAATCAGATTGCTAACCAATAATATTAGATGGTTTCAACAGCACTACTCCGTTTTCTTCTCTAAACTGCTGCCCGCAGCCTCGTTTGGAAAAGGTTCCAAACATAGTCCTGTTTCTGCTGAATTGGTACAAAAATCGTACTACATAGTTTCATTTTTCAACTTCCTATTCAGAGTGTGTATTCGGCGTCTACTGGTAGTCCCATTCTTTGCATTTGAAATCTAAGTCTGCACTGTGTCTTGTATGTTGTAATTAGTATACACATGCACAATTATTATTCTTTTATGCGCTGCGTTTAACAGTCTTCTGGTTTTAAATGAATTTAGATCCTTATCATTTTTTTTTTTCTGATTGACAGTGACAGTTGTTGCTTCTCTGCCATTTTTGGATGGCATTTATGATATGCATATGAAGGCCATATAAAGACTAAAATTGAATGTTTTAGGCATAGTTTTAGGGTTGGCGAGGTTAATAAAAACACTTTATTTCTAAATCACAAAAAGGCACTTTAATTTTATTTATTTACATATTTCCAAAAAGTAAAAAAATAAATAGCTTGTTAATGTTATAACTAAGGCAATATTGTATTTCTAAGGAAATTTCTCTATAGAAGGATAACTAATGCAATATTGTATTTTCTCTATAAAGGTCGTAATAATAAGAGGGTATAATTAAAGAATCAGAACTGAACACACTTAATTTCGTGAACTCACTAAAATTTCTATAGTTGATTCTACCTGATATGTTGTAAAGTCTGTAAGGACTGAAATAAAACTTTTTGATTCCCTTCGTAACACGAATTCAGCCGACATTTATTAATACGGTATTTAGAGTAGAATTAACATAATTTATTACGTAATGTTATTCGTTTTATAATCGTATCACTTATACTCATGTCCTTAAAACAATACTGCCAGCTGAAATAAAGAAGAAATAGTATTATTTATTTAACCAAGAGAATAACTAATAGGAGTATATGTTAAAAGAGAATTAAATTAAGTTCTTTTTGAAGTCTTATGTTATGGAATGTATACCGTGCTGGCAACTGTTACTTTTGGGTCGATATTTACATGTGCGGAAGTAAATCACATGGGGATCTTATTAAGTCGAAGTGAGAGAAATACGACAGTGTGCTGTTGCGTTGCTGCCAGTACGCCTTTCCCGATCAAGTAAAGTAAAACCACGATCGCCAACCGCTTATTTTTAAGACTTTTTTTTTTCGAAAAGGTAACTAGATAAAATCATTAGATATGTTTCTGAGTATCTGAAATGGAATTATAAGGATATCGTTAGGGTGTCCATTTTTTTATAACGAGAAAACGTCAATAATCGCGATAATTTAAAAACTCAACTTTTTTACACATAACATGCCATAAGAACCACTTTAGATATTGAAGCTTTTTTTTTTATTTTGAAGATCGGATCATTTACAATATGTTTACATAAGAAAAATTCGATAAGGTTGTTTTTTTCTATTCTAAAATTTAAACAACCCATTCATTTAGTGCATAGCAGTTTTCAGCGATCGTGTAACTTTTTTATTTATAAAGATTTTTACATACTGTCTGCGAAAAAAGTTTTTGAAAAACTACAATCAATTATTTCTAATAGATTTCGATTTTTGAATTCAGAGTTCTAATAGCGCGGCCACTGTCGAACACCAACTCAATTCCACTTATTTTTACCAAAAATGCAAGTGTTTCTAACTTGTATTTAAACATTTTCAAGCTATAAGGAAAATTACGACTCGTTAATAAATAAACAAAAAGTATCACGAGACGTAGTTAAATTGTGAAGCTGAACGCATGATGTACACATTTCCCTAGAACTTTTAAGTACTGACAGAGGTACTGATTGGGTCAACCGGTCGACTGCGATAAATCTGCTGTATCCCCTTCCACGCCTCTTAGCAATGTGCACATTTTCTCGGTTTACTTCATATGTTTGGCAACGTCTTTACTGTTCCCTCCTTGTTCTGTACATTATAAATGCATTGTACTCTTCCTACGTACGGAAATCTCGACCCAAGACTAACCTTTGCCAGCCCTTAGTATGTGAGTAGTTTTAAAGAAATAAAATCTGTTATGAGGCTAATAAGGCATTCTTGGTGGGTTTGTTTCTTGATATCTCTTGAGTCTCCTTAAAGTTGAATAGAAAAATATAAAAAAAAAATATTTTTTTTAGACTCTAAATTTTTTAATGTCTGAAAATATGTATTTGTAGCTTAGTTTTTCGAAGTATAATTTTAAATAAAATTATTACGCATTATATACCTACAATTAGGCAAAGAAAATAAAGTCCTACTCTGGGTGCCCGCTCACCAAGGGATAGAAGGCAATGAAAAAGCAAATGATCTAGCTAGAAAAGGAGCGAACACTCCACTAACTGGACCAGACCCGTTCTGTTCCAAGCGGGAACCAACTGAAGCGGAACTGAAAAATCTGGAAGACTCCATCCGTAACCTGGAATGGGTGTCCTCCAACGGTCTAATACACTCGAAAAAGTTCTTAAGAACTTACGGCCGAGAAAAATCAAAGGTTTTCCTTGATTTAAGTAAAAAAAAATCTTCGGATTATTACGGGGTTTCTAATAGGACACTGTCTCCTCAACTAACACCTCAGTAGGCTGAAGCTGAGAAACAACGGCGAATGCAGATTCTGTGGGAAAAATGGGGAAACACCAACCAGAACACCTTATCACTGAGTGCGCCGAGACGACGACCGTTCGTGCCATGAACTTTGGTACGGCTGATGTCGAGGATGGAGAGTGTCTGTGGAGCCGTATCAGATATTTGCTTTTGTTAAATCCCTGAGACTGTATGATTTATAACTCGTTATAACTCAAGAAAGGGGTTATAACTCCAAACACACAATAGATATGTGAGGTCGCGGTGATTAACTCCTCTTCTAAACATTCTACATTCGACAAGTCCTTCAATTGCAACTTGAGCTGGATCTCTAACTTGCCGTGAGTCCGGGCTGTAGTATCACGATAGCGTTCAAACTTTTTCCATGATGCTTTGTATACAATTCATGAGTGGAACGGTTCTATCGTCACTGAAAAATCAACTTTACTAATAGAAATGAAATTTGGCAGGATTAGGATTCCGACATATTATGTCAACCGAACTTTATTACATTACTTGTCAGATTGTGATACACTCCTTCTTTTATCATAAGAGACCGAAGAGACTTCAAAAGTTAATGTGGTTTGAATGGAAGTAAAATTGGTAGGGAGTTGTCTACATAAATTATACCGGGGATGTACCGGGCATATATTCATTATACGGTCTATAAATCCTTACCTGTTTCCAAACATATCCCTTACTATGATCTTGTCTATATAAATTGCGGAATTCATAGGAGGAACGAAGGTCTCGTTACGATTTTCATAAATATCTGGATTGAAAAAGAATAGATCTGCCTCGATCTCTTTAACACTATCTGGATCTAGTGATCCGAATTCTGCCACTGCCAAGCCGTACATTCTCGATCCTGTAATAATGAAATCCTTCACACTGAAAATATAAATTTACGTTATTATTAGTTATTAATATTTTTGTGTTAATTCTTAACTTACTCAGTAAAAATCTCGAAATCGACAGACATGTTCGAATAAATCAGATTCATTTTTAAAAATCCTTTTATTGAATCAGTCTTCTGCGAAATGTGGACAGATGCTTGTAATTGTGTTCCTAGAATAAAATTAATATTTTTTAATAGCAATAGTAACTTAATATTTATGAGCAAGCATTTAGTCATTTAAATTAATACGCATGTGTATGTGAAAACGAAAAAAATAGGTTTTTGAAATTACTTTACCTATCCAGCATTAGCTTTTATACAAATATGTTTTCGTTTTTTGCAGTTTTGATTGATTACTGGCCTTTCAACTATTTTTTGTTTTGATTGGACGATGGTATTATTTATCTTTTCAGTTTCATTTCAGTCACCTTTCAATCCATGATGTCAAATTATTTGTAATAATGAAGTTGGAATACATTTTTATCAATGAATTATTGATTATTGAAATGTCCCACGGTGGTTATTAAGGTGATATTAATCAATACATAAAAATTATTAAACGCCTGGTCATTATACTCGAAAAATAGGTATAATATGCTGGCGAAGTTTTCCCGAATACAATTCGGACCACCCTGTATATCTCAAATAAAATTTGTTTCATTGTTAAAACTCATTAGTAATTTCACAAACACTGAACGTTTATTAAATACTGTATCATTTAATTATATTCTTACCACAGTGTGGACTTGTGCTTCTTGTTGAAAGGTACATAACTCCTCTTCCACGAACGTCTTCACCAATTTGTCCGATCTCATCGGCGATGTAAGACCTATCAATGGCCAAACGGCTGTTGGCTTTTTCCAATTGAGGGAAACAGTGACCGCTCTCGAAGGAGGGTAAACCGCCATTGCAGTTAAACGCAGTAAATTGGCAATAATCTGCTTTTTTATTCTTATTTTTAACTTTGTTCAGAACCGTTTCGATGTATAGTCGAAAAGCTCTTATATGACTGCAGGCTGAATCTCTGTCTAAAGTTGGGCGGTTTTCTGGAAAAGTATTAGATAACTATTAAATTTAATATGGACGTAATTTAACATGGACTTTTTACCTAAATGGGTTATGACTATGGAGTTCTTAAGGTCAGTACAGCCTGGTTGTTCCTGACCTCCATTTGGATAAAAGTCTACATGTCCGATGGGTTCCCACAATCCAAAACCATCAGTAAGGTACTGAAATTATCGAGAAAGAATACGATTTAGGTCATTTAGATTTATTTTTACTATAAGTAAAACCTAATATTAATACATCTAACAATAATTAGAATATTGTAACAAGAAGTTTGAATTTTATTGTTTCATCGATTATTTTTGTTCCGTGTTTAAAGTAATAAGTTAATATTAAGTATTTTTGAAAAATCAGCATTCAAGTTTTTTTTTACAAAATTATCCTTTATTGGGATGTGCCACGTTTATTGTTATTTCAAGCATATTCGTTATTAAAATTCATGACGTTGACTGTTGTCATTCTAATAATTGAAAAGTAAATTAATTTTTCTATCGTTTTTTGAATGCTGTCTGTTGAAATCTCTTTGGACAGACTTTAGCTATATGCTATATTCACAACGGAAATGTGCGAAAAATCATCTTGTGTTGAATTTGATTTTCTACTGTTATTTTTTGAATTTGAATTTTAATTTCATTATTTATTTTTTTATATTTTTTTTTCATTATTATTTTATTTTTTTTTATTTTCATTTATTTTATTTTTTGCATTTTCAATTTCATTTTTGATTTTTATTATCTTATTACTGTTTTTCTACACTTATTTTCTTAATTATCAAACATACATATGTATAAAATTATAATATAAGTTAGAATAAGTTATGAATGAGTGTTTTGACATCCACATTCCTCCATAAGGTCGATTTCCTAGCGACGTCTGGCGTCGCTGCGTACTGGTTTGTTTCCCTACAAAGCGATACCTTACTTTTCATTGATATACAAGTTTAGTAAACCACGTACGTGCGAAAAATGAGCCAGTGTGCGGCGAGACACGGGCGCCAGATGTCGCTAGGAAATCGCACCTATAAGATTCTGAACATATTTTGATTCAAAGTCTAAATCTGCAATATTTAATTATATCTGATGATCTGAAGTTAATCAAAACATTGTGTTTCATGACACACTAATTTTTTTATCCATAATCAAGGTTTGTACTTACTGGACTAGCATCTGTATGAATAACGTCTACTAATTCTGCGTCACTTCTGTCCAGCTTTTTATGTTTCTCTTTGAAATAGTTATTTCTAAACAATGGACCAGCCGCGTCAAGACCTGAAAGATATATATCAACTAAGGTACTCACTGAGAGGATTCAATAGTGCATATAATAATATACAGGGTGTTCTTGGTTGAGCTAGCATTAAAAATAGATATTTAGGAAACTTATTTGTTAAAATAAAAATGTGGCTCTCAACTGCCTTTACTTTTGAAGTTTTTTTTTCAGTATGGAGCATTGATGTGCAGAAAACTCGATTATAAAGGAGGCTTAACAAGAACCATACAGTTTATAGTAATCCAAGTTTACCTGTTATCCTGCCAAGCAAGTATCCTTTTTCTTTTAAAATTTCCGATGCTGTCCCAGCTACATGGGCACCCAATAAAAACCTATTAAGTGCATATTCCTTGGGTTTGATCCCTTTTCGACCAGTTTTAAAAGCAAAATCCCTAGTTCTCTTCCAACTATTTCACTGTTGGCAGCTGCACTCACATACTGAGGACCTCTAGCTCCTATTTTCCAGTCCATCAGAAGTACATTATAATCGTCCTGAAATCAATAGTATTTTATGTTTAGTAGGTACGAATTCTAGTCATGAGATTATTATTGTCTATTGGAAATCAGTAAAGTAGACAACTATTAATGCAAAATAATTTAAAATGTTATAAATAGATAGAATTACAGTGGTTTTACATTTTAAACATACTACCGAAAGATAAATATAAGTTAGAAAGGGTTAATATATTTTGAAATAAGTAACATCAACATTATCATCTTATAAGGTAATGTTGATGTGAGGTTAAAACCAATTTTATACGACCAGCACCTCTCATCTGGGGGGGCTAAGCCTCTCCCTAGACATCACCCACCATTTGCGCCACTGGCTCCGGAAGTGAATATTTTCTTTGGATCTACAGCTTGATCCGTAAAGTAAAAATTAAAGAAAAAATCGGCAAAACTTTGACAACCGTAGTCTGTCCTGACAGCTGTATTTGTCAATTTAATTCACAGGTAAATGGTATTTTCTGCTATTTTTGTGTCGTCTGTCGTCTGCCGAAAACATCCATCATTTAGAGGCTGTAAATATTTCAATAATTCATAAAAAAAACATTTCGTTATTTCTCCACCGATAGCATTGATTTAATATTAAAAGAGAAAAATAACCTACTATTTAAATATTGCCTTTAACATATATTTAAATAATTATATGGATAAACAGTGTAATTTGCATCAAATACACAATCAATTTTGATTTGTGTATTTACCATCGTAAATATTGACGTTTCTTTCCCAATATGCCAATTTTCTCGATTGTTTATCTCTTTGCATTGCATTGTTGTAAAAGCCACTTCGAATTATTGTTAAGTAACAAAATTGGCCATGGTAATGAAATTAGCGACATGTTTTATGTATTATAAGGCCAACCACTCGACCAGCTTTTAACTTTGTTTGCACACTTTTTGTATTAATTCATTTTGAAGCAAAAAGTAATTAACATGTTATGTAATTTTTAGAATGTACTTTTATAATTGTCCGCCGTTTTTTGAAATTTACTTTAATTTAAATGTAATTGACTTTCCTGAATAAGTCATGATGCAAATAAACAGTTTTATTCGAATTGATGAAATTCCAATGTAAAAATGGCCACACACATACGGTTTTTTTCTCAAGGTTTGGACAGCGCAGTCTAAAGCTTGTTGCGCACTTGTCGGACAAGTAAGCGACAAGCTTAAGACATGAGATTTTTTCAACGTGTATGGTGAATACCTTGAGGCTGCCAAAAAACCTATTATAAGCAACATATGCAGGCAAACATTATTTGAACCAGTAAAACTGCCGTGTGTGGAAATATCGAAATATTTATCTTACTGAAGATCTTAAAATTACTGAAAAAATACATATGAATGCGTACTAAAAGATATATGTATTTCTATTTACAACATTCTCGTAATTATCTTGAGTCTACTTACCAGCTGTAAATATGCATCTGCTACTAAAAGAGCGTTTTTCTCATTCCATTTGCTGGTGTACCCATGGACCAAAACTTTTAATTTATTTTTGGGATTGAAACTAGATTCTGTGATTGATTTTCCTCCGTCATTGTAGAACAAAACTTCAGGCATAGAAAAGTTGTTTTTTCTCGTGAATAAATAGAACTTTGTGCTTAAAGTATGTGGATCCTCAGGTACTCTTTGCAAGGGAGAGTTACCATGGGGAAGAGAAAAACACCCCACTGTTTCTAAAATCACGAAAATAAAATTCCACTAAATTTTAGTTTTTAAAAGATATTTTCAGAAATATTACAGTTATTACAGGCACCATACAGGGCGAGTCTTAAATAAGTGCAAATATTTTTAGGGGTCGTATATTTCGACCCCAGAAACACGTCTATGAGTTTTTTTCGCCAAAAAAAAGATGGTGAAAATCATGAGAAAATTTTCTTTCAAATTTTCTCACGTTATAATTTTTTAATCTCTGATATTACCATGATTGCGGCACTAAAAGGGATGGAAATACAGAAAAAATCCGGTGATTACCTATATGATATCCGGTGACATTTATTATGGACTTATTTTAAAAACAGCAAAGGAGAAAATATGTTTTTTTACCTAAATCTACCAGCCCTGAAAATGTTTGCACTTATTTAAGAGTTACCCTGTATAATTAAAAAAAAAAGTACAAAAATTAAAGTACAACATTTTTTCCATGTTTCCACTCTGTTAAAAGGTGGTATTTCGCCATTTGTGTGACTATAAAGAAACATAGATGTGACCAATACAGGGCCATAATAGTTAGTTGATTGATAGAATTAATATTTTCATAAAAATTTAATAAAAATAAATAAAACCTAATAAAATGTACTTTAGTATTCATTTAGAAAATAAATATATTTTTTGTATGTTCATAAAGGTGCGCTCATACCGGCTGCGCCGCTCCACGCCGCGCAAATCATTTTTTTTTCAAGACATTGACATGTACTTTTGAAGTGTATTTTTTTAGCGCGCACAAAAGTATATGTTAAAAAAATGATTTGCGCGTGTTGGTGCACCTTAATATGAACTCTTTTACCTCTGTGTGTGAATATTATTCTTTATTATTGTTATTTTAACGTAATGGATAACGCAAAATTGTCAACTGAAATGCTTTGCTGGATTTTTTAATGACATTATAGATAAAAACTAAGTATTAAAAGTTATAAAATTCTAGATAGTTAATAATAAAAAAATAAATAATGGGCACCGAATATCAAAGTTTTATTGGTTTAAACCTCTCTATATAAGGACAAATTTAAATATAATTGTTACATATCAACATGATTTCAAAATAGGAAATAATTAACAAGTAGAGTAAATAGTGATCATGAAAGAATTAAAGAGATTTACTTAAAAAATACGATATTCCTAGTATAAAGATATACCGGGTGCGTCTTACACCAAAAGCGGCTCACCCTTATAATTTTTTGATTTTTTGGATGAAATAAAATTTGGTATGCCAGTTTTTGACATAAATTGGGATTGACTGACGCTTTCAATTGTTTTTGGTGATTTCTTGTTTCACCGGAAATGACTACAACTTTTGATTTTTAAATAGCACCCTGGGTATTTACACCATATTTGCACCCTGTTAATTATCCCCTTTATTCGATAGAAAATGTCACTCTGAATAGAATGACATATCATATGTCACCTTTTGACATTTTTGCTTTAAAAAATAGTATTTTAAATTTCAATCTAGAGTGCCATGGCTGTGTTAAAAGCACTAATTTTAAGTCTTGGAATCTTGGAAAAATATATTTGATCGTCTAATGTTTTTCGTGGCTTGACCTAGGTTAAAAGATGCCCAAATCGTATTTTTAATCATATCTTACTTTTTTCAAATGGAACGAGGGTGACTCATTAGCATACTTGGAAAAAGCATTTTTTTACGAATAATTTGGTACTCTAATCGCATGTTACAATTTCAAATAAACGATATGAGAAAATGTCAAAAGTTGACATATGATATGTCATTTTATTCAGAGTGTCATTTTCTATCGAATTACCTAAGTAAAAAAATACCGAGGGTGTCATTTAAAAATCAAAAGTTGTAGTCATTTCCGATGAAACAAGTGACCAAATAAGTGACCAAAAACAATTGAATACGTTAATAAATCCTAATTTATGTCATATCCAAGCAAATCACGTTTTTTTATCTGAAAAAATAAAAAAGTTATAGGGGTGAACCTTTTGACGCACCCGGTGTATATGCATGATTATTATATCATAACGTAATGTTCATTAACGCAATTTATTTACCTATAAAAGCGAATCATACCTGCTAAGGTATCTTCTCAAATGATGTAGAAATAAATTTTTAATAATACTAAACTAATTTTATTTTAAAATAATCGTATACAAAGACTTTTGTTACTTGCCATAGCATATCATTTGGGTATTCCGTTCCCTGTATTGATAAATTCTAGCTCTTAATCTATGCCTCAAGTTCTCGGCGGCCTTAAACGGGAACTGTCTAAACCTGTGGTTCTTGGTCAGTTGGGCATCGTTGCAATAAATTAACACAATCAGCAGTATGACACAATTTTTAAGCCACATTTTATTCACTACCGTGCTTCACGAGTTACTGAAATATGTTTTTACATATAATCACATCACTGTATGCGGGTTTATTACCTAATATTTCGTATATGTTTTCGTAAAAGATGTCCACAAAACTCGTTACATATTCAGGTACCTGCTATTCGCGCGAATACAAAATTACTACTGGTCGATATTAAAGCAATGGCGAAAAATTTCTTCCATCCACTTTCACTTTGCAGGTGATGGATGGTATTAATTTAACCACCGCGTCGTAAAATGTGCCAAGAGTTATGCGACATTCAATGTTAAATTCGGAAAAACTGGTATTTATTTATTTATTTTACCATCACGTTGCAAGTACCCCCATCAAAAAGTGTAAATGCTCTTACTTAACTTTTTTATCTGTGGATGGGCTGTATGAACCAGTATGTTTTCCATATCTTTAACAAGTCGAATTCAATTTTATTATTCATAATATAAATTAAATATGCAATAAAAAGTCGGCACTCGGGAGCATATTTTGAATTGTTCTAGTTAGTGATGAGCAACCCCCCCTACTGTGGAGTTTGGTAGTGGATGAACTATTAAGCGAACTAACTCTATCGGGAAGGGGGACTGCATAGAGGGAAACATGAAGGCACCCCGTGTGATATTATCCAAAGAGGACTCCGTATTGCTGAGAGAGAAAAAGGTGCAGGACCAGATGGTGCCATTTACCAGAAAACGAAGTCTGAAAAACTTGAAAAGAATCCATCTAGATGGAAAGGAAATACTGCCATCACAAGTCAAATATCTGGGAATAAACCTGGACAGTAAACTTCTCTGGAACAGGTATATTAAAAATATAATAAATATTACCAGCAAAGCCACAAAGGCTCTCATAATATGCAGAAGACTGGCGGGAAATAGATGGGGCTGTGCCCCTAACATTTTGTGCTGGATGTATACCATGATAGTAAAACTGGTTACACATGATTACTTAGATAGAGCAGTTGCTTGGTACACAAAACTAGAGCAACATACAGCAAGGCAAAACCTGTGTAAACTACAGAGACTGGCATGCATCACAGGTGCTATAAGAACATGCCGAACAGTAGCAATGGGGAGTCATCCTAGACCTAACACCGCTGCATATTGTCGTCGATAGTTATTCCAATGTGACAGTGATTAGAATGGTCATTCATGGATTCAGTATTGGGAGAATTTTCAGGTCAGGGCCTTGGTACACCATCATAAAGAAAATTCCACTCCTCCAACTCCCACTGGACATACCAAGAATTTACAAATTTGAGAAACACCTCACTGTAGTATTCACCAGTAAAAAGGATTGGAAGAGAGAAACGTTTGCTCAGCATGTAAAAGACCATATCATACCATGGTATACTCTCATGCTTCCAAAACCATAACAAGGACAGGAGTATTTGGGCCGAAAACTAAATACTCTGAACTAATGGGTACCTACCCCAGCATCCTTCAGGGAGAAATCTACGCTATCGAAAGATGCGTACAATTTATCTTAAATATCGAAAACATGAAATAACCATCTTATCCGATATACATGCAGCACAATGAAGCTATGAAGCTGAACAAATTAGGCAAAGAAAATGAAGTCCTCCTGCTCTGGGTGCCCAATCACCAAGGGATAGAAGGGAATGAAAAAGCAAACGATCTAGCTAGAAACAGAGCGAACACTTCACACCTCTGGTTTTAGTGGTATAAATATAAGGTAAACATTTTTATAAATAAATAACAAATAATAAGTATTTTTAAATAAATGAAAATATAATATTGCATAAATCTGAAACTAAAAAAGTTAAATCATAATTTCACTTTTGATGTTACGGTAACCAAACAAAAAATTCCATAAATAATAAAATATCCTCATTTCGCCATGTTTAAAAACTAGTATGTACAAACTTTTCTTGAGATAAAAAATGTTAATTTTGTTTGTTTTCAGGTCATTTACATAACCATCTAGAACACCTATGTAGGCAAAAGACCAATAAACCAATTTTAGTTTTCTACATCATGTAAGGAATTAAGGAAATAGAAAGTATTCGATATCGATATTTATAAAGCAAATTAGTCCTCAGAATTTCTTATACAGAAACAGTAAAATTAACTTTTCTACTTTATTTATGTTCTTATTGTTCTAGCCATTATAAGTCAACTGTTAGTTTCAATATTACAACCTTTTTAAACAATATTTTTATAATGTTACTGGGGTACTGGGTACTGGCCCATTTTGCATCCTATAATGCCTATACCCGGTGCGTCTCAAAAGTGGCTTACCCCTATAACTTTATTTTTTCACATAAAAAAACAAGATTTGGTATGTTAGTATATGACATAAATTAGGATTGATTGACGTATTCAATTGTTTTTGGTGACTTCCTGTTTCACCGGAAATGACTACAAGTTTTGATTTTTAAATGGCACCCTCGGTATTTTTTTGCTTTATTCGATAGAAAATGACATTTTGAATAGAATGACACATCATATGTCAACTTTTGACATTCTCGCTCAATAAAAATTGTATTTTAAAATTCAATCTAGAGTGCCATGGCTATGTTAAAAACACTAATCCTTAATCAAGGAGCCTTGGAAAAATAGATTTGATCGTCCAATCCTTTGAGTGTCTTGTCCTGGCCAGTTAGAAAATGCTCAAATCGTATTTTTAATCATATCTCAATTTTTTCAAATGGAACGAGGGTGGCTCATCAGCATATTTGGTAAAAGCATTTTTTTACGAATAGTTTAATACCACACACTTGGTATTTCGAGTCAAATTTTCGTAACAAACCGCAAGTTATAATTTCAAATAAACCATATGCGAAATGTCAAAAGTTGACATATGATATGCCAGTGTATTCAGAGTGTTATTTTCAATTGAATACGTCAATCAATCCTAATTTATGTCATATACTAACATACCAAATCTTGTTTTTTTTTTAAGAAAAAAAGTTATAGGGGTGAGCCACTTTTGAGACGCACCCGGTATATATGTCCTATAATGCTTGTGTATACGTATTTTTATGTAGTTAAGCTTCATTCAGAACCTCGAAATTAGTGGAATAAATAAATTAGTTGTTTCAGTTAAACTTTATACTGATGTTTTGAGTTACTTAAGTTTACGATCATTGACAATGTCTAAAAATTACAATTAAAATTATAGATTAATTATCCTAGCAACAGCCGTATTCAATTGCATCCATAGAGCAAGCTTAATATTTAGCTTATAAAAACACTCGACGTTTTTTTCTAAACACAATAATTACTAAATAAACAAAAATACGAGTAGCGGAAAATAATTACTCTTGACGGATTATTCGCAAATTTTGAAGTAAAATTAGTTGAAAAAATTAAAAGTTCATTAACTTTTTCTACTAATTAAAAATTATTACCACTAATTTTCACGATCTGAATGCTTACATTGAAATTAGAGGAGCAAATTTTTACGGTAATTGAAACCACTAATTTCGAGGTTCTGAATGAAGTTTGTTATAATTTTGTTTTTGTTGACTGTTATAATTTGTCTAATTAAAGAATATTTGATTATGACTTCTTTTCAAAAAAATCTAAAGATCTAGAAACAAAACAACAAATTTCCAACAAAACAACACATTTCTAAAGATCTAGATCAGTCAGAGATGGAGCTTTCCGCTAAAAATAAGTTTTCTCTCAGTTCTTTCTCTTGAACCAGAGTTTGGCTAGCTCTGGTCAATTTACTTACTTGTATCTAGCCCCAGCAGGCAACTATTAAGCCCGACCAATCACGTTAGAGATTTTGACCCCCAAACACAAATGAATTAACACCCTCCAAATAACCACGCTAAACAACCTGTTTGGTCAAGCTTAATAGTTGGCTGCTGGGGCTAGATACTAATTTACTTTCATTATTAATATTACTAATAGTAGAACATATTTTTGCTTCAATGAAGTTATGTAAACATTTTATTTTGATTTGTTATTTCACCGTTGTTAAGAGGTACCTAACCGCTAATTTTGAACGGTAATTTCACTATTTAATTGAATTTGTTGCAAATAGTGCCAATTTTAACATTTACGCACTAGTTCCAAGGATAAAAACTAAGAAAAAACAAACAGAAATATTGCTCAACTCAATGATTTATTCATTATTTCGTCAATACATGTTAGGAGGGTCTAGCCATTTGAAAAGCTATCTTAAATACTGATAATTATTTTTAACATCTATAATCTTGAAAGTACTAATATCCAAATTTTCAGAAGATAAAACAATTACCAAGAAAATGAACTCCCATCTCTTATTTAAGTTTACTTTCCAGAATACAATAAGATTGTATGTTCATTATTGAAAATTTTACAAGCAGTTCTGTGGTAATATACTGATTTACCTTCTTAAGCTTAAGATAGTTGCACCTTCGAATATTTTAAAATATTTTCACACACTTTTAAAACGATTATATCTAAACCTTAAATCTCTCCATTTTATTGTCTGTATAGGGTTTATGATAAAATTAATCTTCGAATGAGGAATGGGTAAGGGCGAATAATTTATTTTGTTTTAAGCGTTTATTCGTTGTACAGAGTGATTCCTATATATGTACATAATTAAGGAAAAGGGATAGTAAATTATATAATTAAATTAATAATTCTGGTAATTATAAAAAACAAATATTTAATACTTTACTATCAGAATATAAACGAAAATAAAATAAAAAAGTATTTGACCTGACCCGGATTCGAACTCTGAATCATAGGTTCGTGGTCGGAAACTCTATGCACTGCGCTATGGAGACATGTTCGATTAATATTCAATACTAGAATTTGAAGGACTAATAAAAATATAGGATCTTCTTTCAATGCGCAGTAGAGAACGCAACGTTTACCGGCAGCCAAACGGGCCGCATGCTGTTCTAGAGAGCATAGTAAAAGATATATCAAAGAACCAGACTTCTTAAAATACTTGTTTTTCCGACGTTGCTAGCTCTCGTACTATAAGGACAGTTGTCTGTTGTTATTCTTTCTGTCATTTTTAGTGATAATAGATTCTTTAAACGTCGTGCTTTAATAAAAAAATCGCAGACAAATTGAATTCAAATGAAACGTTAACTCAAAATACACCACTCTAAACAAATACCGCAATTCTTGAAAAAACGCCGTCCACTAGGCTTGGATATGATAATCGATGACATTCCCCATATAATTTTAAATATAAAATGGCAGCGATCTTCATTTTCAAGCCATCTTTGACGCCGTTTCTTTCAATCATACTGTAGTAATACCGCGATAAAACTGAAATCATAATTTACGATATCCCTTTTCTGTTCCGAAAATAAGTATACAGGGTGCATTAGAAACTAGATAGTTACTATTCTACGAGGGTCCCCAAGGTTTCTGCTTTATTGTCAGATGAAAATATATTATTTCTATTTATTGGTTGAACAAGAAAAATATAATATAAGGGCGTAGAAATAATATTTCAATTATCAAAAAGGGTGCATTCCGTTATTTACCTTGGTGAGGTTTTTTTTGTTTTACTTCAAGTTATGCATGAATTTTTATTATTACGGAACACGGTTCCTGAAAAATATAATATGTCATTATTGTCATAATTTGATGACAATAATGACATATTATACCAAACCAAACCAAACCAGCGCAAAGTTGTTCTGCTTCTTTTTTCAAAAGAATATTGAAAAAAGTCCTATGGGTATTTCACCACTGCAAGAAAATCTACAAAATAAAACAGTTATTTTTGTCCGCAGTGATTTACTAAAACAAATTTGCCTAAAGGACAATAAAATGCTTAACCTTTCGGGAAGTATATCTTTTCCCGTCGTCGTCGGGAGCAAAAAACACATAGAACAAAGAAAAAAACTATTTAAAATATCTAAATTCAACTATTTAAAAGAACACTTTAGATTTTTTTTCAACAGATACGTCTATAAAAACCGTTGACGTTCTGTTAAAATGACATTATATCTAATTAAACTTCAAAATTAATGCTTCATTCAGAACCTCGCGATTAGTGAAATAAATTAGTCGTTTCAATTAGCGTAGGAATTTGTTCCTTTAATTTCAATGTAAGTATTCGGAATGTTAAAATTAGTGGTAGACATTTTCAATTATTAGAAAAAGTTATCAAACTTTTAACTTTTCCATTAATTACACTTCAAAATTTGCGAGAAATGTCATTTTGGCCTTTGATTATCTTACGTCAAGAGAAATTGTGGTTAGAAATCAAAAGTTGATTGTTTTATAATCTAAATATTAGGCTTTCTCCATGGATACAACTAACTAACGCAAGCTGTTGCTAGGATATTCTATTAATTTTAATTGTGTTTATTTTATTAATTTTAATTGTGTTAACATTGTGAATGATCGTAAACTAAAAAGTATAAAGTGTAATTGAAACCGCTAATTTATTCCACCAGGTTCTGAATGAAGCTTAACAATTACTACCTGATTGCAACTACTTAATGAGGTAAAACCAAAAAGCATCAAACTTTCTCTATGATTATATTTTAATTTTTACTTATGTTTATGTTATGTTCATTAAAAATCAAAGAAACTATTGCCATACAACACTAACCTCCCAGAAGAGATGAATCCGCCACGAAGGTATATCTAGACATTTTTTAAGAACATTGAAAGTTTAAAAACGTCAGTATTTGAAATGTATACTATTTTATCAAACTGTTAAACCGTATAATACCGATATTTTTCAGGAACCGATCCTTGTTGTAGTTTGCCAACCTGGTTAACCTGCTTTTACAACGGAAGAGCCTTAAGTTATTGACTGTGCCAATGGCAGATGATATTTGAAGTCTTTATTAAATGCTAGAATTATAATAATAGTAAATAACTTCTCGATAAAAAAAATAAGTGTTTTAGAGTAAGTTATTATTAGTATTATATAGTTTTATGATTTAATAAGATCTTGAATTAACTTAAAATTAGCTGTAACTTTCTCTATGAAATATTGTTTCAAGTATACAATTTTAATAAACCTTAAATTAAATATATTAAAGGTTTAAGAAACTCAATTTTAATCTATATTTACACCATATATACTTATTTAATTCAATTTTTAATTTTTGCGTAGGGGGTTAAAGCATTTGTAATTATATGGAGATTCGAGATTCTTGGACGCATTATATTTATCATTCTATACAAGTTTGCAACCAAACGAGACAATAGCGAATGCGATTGAAGCTGAAATTGAAAAATGTGTGAAAATATTTTAAATAAAACATTTGTATACATGTCATTTTTAAATCTATTAGAGGAACGATAATGCTTTTAAAACACTGGTAAAAGATTTATTTTTAATTTGTCGTTTACTATTTTTTTCTATGTTTATTCATATCTATTGATCAAGATAAAAACATATGTGTTGAAATAAAAGTAGGAAATTATAGTTTTACAAACACCCTGTATACATTTACCAGTGTTTTACTAACATTTTCGACATATGGGAGAAATTCCAAATAATATGGTCGAGTTTTATCTTATTGTACACATTTCAGACGATGCAACCTTTAGGAAAGTATAAATACTAATAATGATATGTGCATACAACATACACGTTCATTCGCTCTAAATGTTAAATGTCCGCTCTATGTACAGTATTTTTATATGAAATTTTTAATTAACCTAACTTTACGGTCTATAGATGAAATGTCTGATAATTTATCAAGATGAACGACTTTTATTTAATCAATTAATTTCATATAAACAACACTAGGTACGTCATTTCATCCAAAGTAGTCAGGATCAGTGCGGCTGGTTTTCTAAAGGAACACAAGAAGTTTTTGATACCGTATATTTGTATCGTTCGAGTCTTTAGAATATTATAATTTGTTCTACCGAAAATGATATGTTGTCGTATCGAACATGATCTCCATTTTTTTATATCGACCCTAAAAATATATAATTTTTTTCATATTCCATTTTCTCTATATTACTTCCAGAACCATTTTTCTCTCAGTCATATTTAAGTCCATTTTTACGATTGATATATGATATATACGACGGAAATGCAACTGACTACTCTTCAATGAAAATTAGAGACGTATTCGGAAAATATATTTTAGCAGTGCCCACATGATAACCTTCTAGATAACATATTCAACTACAGTCCCTAAAATTGACAAAACATAAAATTGACTAGAGTATTTCTCTCTCCACAGCTCATACTTTCTCTAACATAATATACATTTTTTATTCTTTCTTTTTCTATAGCCACATTTACTACTTAGGCGATAGGCCGCAATAACCTTAAAAGAAAATTTGTAGTGGTTCCAAATTTGTTACTTTTTATTATCGAAACAGTTTAAAAAGATTTTTTTAAGAACCCTTATTCACCGACCTACAAATTTTATTTTAAGTAAAACATCTCGTAGCGACCTCTTATCCCGAATTTGCACAGCCGAGAATATTGTTCACTATCACTGCTCACTGATTTTGATTTACAATACCGTTTGTAGTAAATTTATTTAATTTCGTGTTCATACGGACCCAATTATCAGCAAACATTTTTTAGGGTGCTACAAATTCGAGGTACGAGCATTGGCATCTCGGAAACCGTAATAGATACGAACATGGTTAAATTGGGGCAAAGTTGCTCCTTGACATGTTCACCAAGATGCTATCAAAAAAGTTTTAAAAATTTGAAGGATTGATGAGTTTTTTGAAAAAAAACGGATTATTTTGAAAACCAATTTTATTTTTTCCTGTCATTACTTCTTAGAAAGTCGTAAAACGAATTGCACATTCCCATAGCCACTTTATTAGGGTTATCTGATGGTATTTTTAGATTTTTAAATTAGCTGATAATTTGTGAGATACAGAGGCCAACTTAATTTTTCTAAATACGGACCTGCATTTTTTATTTCAGGTTTTGAAAGAACCCGGTCTCCTGAGTACAATGATATGCCAAACTTGATATTTATTTTTGTTTTGGGTACCTTAACAGTAATAAAACTATTTAACTGTTATTTAAAATAATTTGAAGTCCGACTCTGGTTTTTTAATTTATTTAATCTGATTATATTCAGCACAACAATATTGATCAGCGCTAATTAACATTGACTAAGAAAAATCACGCAAATTGAAATATTCAAATAATTATCCAGGTCAGCAATTTAAAGATATATTTTATTTTTAACTTTTTTTAATGTGAATTTGAAATCTCAGTGTACGATCTAATAATAAACATAATATTAATCGTAGTTATTATAAATAAATCAACTTCTACAAACTAGTTTCTAATGTTCTGCATGTTCGAAAGGGTTACCACCCTCCATAATGCACACATTTGTTTTTCGTTCAATCTTATTTATAGCTCTTTGAACAGTTCTTCTTATACTTCCGACTGCATTTTGTACTCTTTAATTGTTTTTATTGCTCGTTAATTGTTTTTGTACTCTTAATGTTGAAATGTATTGATTTCAAATGTCCAAAACAAGTTGTATTGATTTTCCTCAATGTTAATTAGCGCTGATCAATATTGTTGTGATGAATATAATCAGATTAAATAAATTAAAAAACCACAGCCGGATTTGAAATTATTTTAAATAACAATTAAATAGTTTTGTTATTGATAAGGGACCTACCTAAAAAAAAGTATCAAGTGTGGCATATCATTGTACTCAGGAGAGCGGGTTCTTTCAAAACCTGAAATAAAAAATATAGGTCCGTATTTAAAAAAAATAAGTTGGCCTCTGTATCTCACATATTATCAGCTAATTTGAAAATCTAAAAATACCATCAAATAGCTCTAATAAAGTGGCTATGAGAATGTGCAATTAGTTTTTTGATTTTCTAAAAAGTAACGACAGGAAAAAAAATTGGCGCCGGGAGGCACGTATAGCCGCCCATACTAAAATATGTTAATATCTCAAAAACTGCGACTTTGACTGATTTTGATGTTATTACAAATTTTGTTGCAAATATTATTCCTAATCTTAATTTGAAAACCGGGTTTCGCTAACTACTGTAATTTTGGAGTTACGATTTTTTTAAATTTTTAACCCCCTCCCATACCCCCTTACCAACCCCCCACCACCACCAAAAACTAATGGCCAGATTCTCGGGTGCCACAGTATTTTTGTGCCAAATTTGGTTAAAATCGGTTCAGCGGTTTTTGAGTTATCCTGTTACAGACGGACAGACAGACAAACAGACAGACACCACGAAAATATTTTGTATTTAGGTCATTTATGACCCAAATAACTCATTTTGAGTGAAATTAAAAAAACTTTTTTTTTGCCTATCCTAATAGCCTACCATACCTATTGGTATGGTCGGCTAATAAAATTGATTTTCAAAAAAATCCGTTTTTTCCAAAAAACTCATCCTTGAAATTTTTCAAACTTTTTTGATGGCATCTTGGTGAACATCCTAAAGCGCAACTTTGCCCCAATTTAACTATGTTCGTATCTATTACGGTTACTGAGATACCAATGCTCGTACCTCGAATTTGTAGCAGCCTGTATAATCAATACTAGCAAAATTTTGTAACCGCACATTGGTAGCTGATAATATTCACGTGACCAGGAATTGGAAGTAACAATATTCGTGACGATGGGAACTCGGAATTTAGACGTATTTAATATTAATGTGTGCATTCTAGGATATTAAAGAAACAAATCAAATCGCTGCTAGCTAGCACCGCAAAATAATTACACAAAATGCATTTCATGATCTATGGGATTATGAGTATATATAGCATAGGTAGTAAATGCCCAAGCTGATATAGCCCGTACCACATCCTTAATTAGTGTCTTTGTTTGACAATTCATATAATTCTTTAATAGTTTGTTTTGAACATATATCGTCGTTGTTTATTGCTTGAATGTATTCCTTCAAATAAGATTTGATATAGGCCTACCAGCCTAAGACATTTACAGACGTTCCAACAATAATATTTACATTTTTGGAATGTCGTCAAATATTGTGTTACATTTTCTTGTTTGCTCTGAAAGGAAGCATTTAAATTCACGTTTTGGAACGTCTTTCAAATCGATTTCACGTAACTGTGTTGCCATACAAAAATATTTGAAAAACGAAATAATAAAATATCTAATAATTATATTTTATGTACACTTACACATTTAAACATTTTAAATTGTAACGGAATAATATACTTATCGTCTAACGTCGAAATAAAATTTTTGCATGGCAAGAACACATACAATTAAAATTTAAATCAACTGTACACGTTATAAAATACCATAATACAATAACGAAATTCATATAAAGAATTAGTATTTTTTCTAAGTTATGTAGTTTACATTAACGCTTGCATTAAATAGTATTTACATCTTAAGTACAGAGAATATTTAAAGCAACTTAATTTCAATATAGGCTAAACGTTATGAAAAGTTAAAAACCGATAAAAATCTCTAACAATGTGATTTAAATTAATAATTATCATTAGTTTCGCGTATAAACTTGTTTTTACTATATCAACCAGTAGATGGAATTCTGCCTAACTTACATTAGGAAATTGGCAGTGACATTTTTTATTCTATATTGTAATTATTTGTGCTCGTATTTTTAAAAATCAAATCGACCTCTACAAATCTACGCTTCAGTTTCCGTAACGCACGTCTTTTAAAAATTTAACTAAAAGTATCCTAAATATCACAATAAATTAAATATCTTTAATTTGAGATTAAATCAATTATTTTTTATTCAGTTCATTTTGTAAATAGGTTTGATAAAGAAAAAGAATACCCTATATCTTACATAGTTTTAGGAACTAACGCAAAAATGCTGAAAGAAAATAATGGATTATTACGAAATAGTGCCCTTAGTCAAACTAGGTTAGAAAATCCATGAAATCATGGTTTGTTCGATTTATCGAGTTATGTTCTCTAACGTTTTAGCACTTGTGCAAGGATGTTAGCGTGATTCATTTAGTAGTACTTACATATATGATAGCTAACCAAAAAGAAGACCGTTATTGTATAAGAATTAAAGATAATTACCTAGTTGTTATTTTTACTACATCTGACTATGCTTAATTTTATCGGTTTATTATTCCCATTAAAAAATTACACAAAATCACGCTCAGTATTTATAGTTCAAGAGTCGGGTGCAAAAACACGCAGTTTTCTGAAGGCTAATATTTTTAAAATCGGTTGCATTTTAATGTTAAAGGGTACAAAGGTGTAATTTTAATTAGCACCTCTAAACTGTTTCCTGAAAATTTGTAGATAACATTCGAATGGATTGTAAATCAGGGCGCCCATTGAATCGGATCGGATCGGATCTGTACGGAACAGTCCTGTGGGAATGATTTGAAATACGTAGAAATAGATTGACATCCGCGCACTGCTTCAGTCCCGCTCGGCACCGTCCATCGGTTGGCTTCGGAATCAGTCTTTGGTAGAAAGGGCAAAAAATTCCGAAGGTCCGATCAGTTTTCTCGTTGTGTTTGATGTAAACAGTGTGTACTACCTTGTAGTTGATTATTTTGTGTGCTATTTATTGTTTACAATGGATGAAGGACTTTTAATTGATACTGTTTGAGGTTAATTTCGTGTACAAAATTTCCTATTTTATTTCTCAAGGTATGCCAACGCGATCATATCATCTTCGTCGGAAGATGAAGAGCTCATAATATTATATAAATTATTAAGTATTGTTTATAAAATTCTAATCCTAAAAACTAAAATAAATTACACACCACAAAAATTATATTTCGACTGATAAACTGAAGCATACCGATTTGGTGAGCGGGTTTTGGACGTTTCCGGACTGAGCGATGCCGTGCCGATCCGATCCGATCCGATTCAACGGGCGCTCTGCTTAAAACAAAAATATAACAGTCAAACAGAGCAGGATGGGGACACAAAGTGCCAACGCTACCTCAGATGCGCTGTCAAAAAAATGTTGTCCCTCAAAGTGATTTATGAAGGTTGAAACTTTGCAAGGTAATAGTGAAAACAATGATATTTATTAATATATTATAATGTCATTTTAATAGAACGTCAACGGTTTCTTGTAGACGTATCTATTTTAAAAAAGTAAAGTGTTCTCGAATAGTTGAATGTAAATATTTTAAATATTTTTTTTCTTTATTCTTTGTATTTTTTTGCTTCCGACGACGGAAAGAGATATACTTTCCGAAACGTTAAGCATTTTTTTCTTTGTTAGGCAAATGTGTATAACTTCTGACAAGCAGGGTACGTTTAGGTTTAACGTAGAAGTGTTTACAAAAAATAACTATTTTATTTTGTAGATTTTCTTGCAGTGCAGTGGCGAAATACTCAAAGGATTTTTTTGGAGAAATATATTTATTAATTAAAACAGTCAGACTCGTCGATAATAGAACTCCGTCAGTCAGCGCTGATGGAAGTGAGAATACTGACAACGCGCCTATAGACGGGTCTTTACTCATTGTATATCGATATTCATCAATAATTTCACACAAAACAAAATAATTTAATGTAAATAAATTAATGTAAAAACTGCTTTATGCAAAAAAACATGTGTCTTTTTTTATTTGAGACCATTTTCCTCCGACATTTATAAACTACATGTTTTAAAATATATTTTTCTTATAATATTTATGTTTAAATATCAATAATAGATAGTCACAAATCCAAAAAAATTAAAATATTTTGTTTTGTATGAAATTATTGATGAATATCGATATAAATTGTGTAAAGACCCACCTATACGCGCGCTCTCCATCAGCTGCTGACTAACGGGGTTCTATTATCGGCGAGTCTGGCTGTGTTTCAGCTTTCAGAAATCACCTTAAGTTATTTTTTTTTGACAGCGCGTTTGAGGTAACACTGACGTTTTGTGTCCCCATACTGGCTCTATCTTACTGTTATATTTTTGTTTTACATTGCATTCGAATGTTATCTACAATTTGTCAACTTGAAAACATCTTGGAGATGTTAATTAAAATTACACCTTTGCGCGCTTTTCCTCGCGAGTTGTCCGAACACGAACTGGAACTGCTGACTGTAGCTTTGCTTTTTAACATTAAAATGCAATCGATTTTGAAAATATGAGCCTTTAAAAACTACTGCATGTTTTTGCACCTGGCTCTCCGACTATTAGTAAGCTTTCGTTCGCTGAACCAACTTACACTTTGGTCGATTACATACTTGAGAAGAGTTCCACTCTTCTGACATTTAAAGCCTCAATAAGAAAGGGTTTCTCTCTTTGGAAAAAATCTACCTATTGTTCTTTGCGATGCCACGAAACCGTTACACCGACGAAAATAATATGCAAAGATCGAAATTAAAAAGTTGTGCCACACGCAACAATTATTAATCTATAAATCCATTTATCTATTTCTTTATAAATATCATTTTACCTACCAACTAAAATTATATATATATATATTTTTCTTTAAATATTTAGTTAACAATGATCCTATAAGTAACTAGTTTGATTTCTAAAAAGCAAGTATTAGATTGCAAGGCATAGTGGAATTATTGGAAAGTTTTAAAAAGTACGTTTTTATACTTACTTCTAATGAGAAAATTACGTCTTGAATTCCTCTTCAAGCGTTAGAATAAAATGCGTTTCCACTATACCAATCCTCGAGCTTTAAATCTCGATGAATCGTTATTTTATTCGCTTTGGATGATACACCGTTTTAGAATGATACATATACATCGAAAAATGACAGTTGCTGTACGTCTACGTTTAATAAGACTTACGTTACATATTTTAATCTAGTTTGTCGTCTTTTATTTGTGCTGCCACAGTAAAAAAAAGCTTTATTATTAGAGACCCAAACCGCAAATTCAGTCGGACTGTTCTCCGTCTCCTTCTACGTCTTTTTCCCCCACCTCTCGGGTGTTGCTGTCTTCCGTTTCGATACTACTAGTTGGAGTGGGCGTTTCCTCCACGTTCAACAATCCGGAACTGCTTTGACTCCTACCCTGTTCACTTTCAAATCTTTCACCTAATAGACGAAAGAAGGCATATATATTACTAAATAAATTTCACCTTTACTAAAAATAGTTTGTAGCTTTTTAAATTAATAATTTTTTCTTCCAGTTTCACAAAATTCATTTTAAAATAAGTTTAAGTATAGCCTGAACTAAAGCAACGTATAGCAAGGCAAAACCTGTTCAAAATGCAGAGACTGGCATACATCTGTATCACAGGAGCCACGAGAACCTGCCCAACAGCAGCAATGAAGATCATTCAACACCATTGCACATTATTGGTAGATATGCCAAAGCGATACTGATTAGAATGGTCATTGAGAGTACTGGGAGAATCGTCCCCTCAAGAGCTTGGAACACTCTCAAAAGGGAAAACATCCACTCCTCCAACTCCCAGTGGATGACATACCAAGAATGTACAACTTTGAGAAACACCTCACTATAGTAATGAACAACAATAAGAATTGAAGAGAGAAACATTTGCTCAGCAGTTAAAAAGACCATACCCTAACGTGGTGTACCGATGCTTCCAAAACCAAAGCAGGAACAGGGATAGGAGTATTTGGGCCGAACACTAAGTACTCAGAACCAATGAGCACCTACCCCAGCATCCTTCAGGCAGAAATCTACCTTAGGCTATCAAAAGGTTGCATACAACTTATCATCGATAGGAACTATCGGAAATAAGAAATAGTCATCTCATCCGATAGTCAAGCAGCCTTAAGAGCGATCAGCTCAGTAAACATCAATTTGAAGTTGGTCAAAGAATGCCTAAAGAAGCTGAACAAATTAGGCAAAGAAAATAGAGTGTATGATACATATAAATCAATGTATATGACACATTTCAATGTATATGATACATTACTTGCCTACTCTGGGTACCAGCCCACTAAGGAAAATCTGAATGAAGGTAATGATAAAGCAAACGATCTAGCTAGAAAAGTAGCGAACACTCAACTAACTGCACCAGAACCGTTCTGCTTCCCAAATGGAAACCAACTTAAAGCAGAACTCAAGAAACTGGAAGATTCCATCTGGAATGGGAATCCACCAACGGTCTGGAGAGACAGTCCAACGAGTTTGCCAGAACTTAAATTAAGAAAAATGAAAGGTTTTCCTTGGTCGTTTTTTTTAATCATACGGTACGTCTATGAAGTTTATACTAACCGTTTTTGTTTGGACTGTATTTCATTTCACCAGCAGAGCTGATCGATGACAAATAAGAAGATTTTTGATCTTGATACTTGCTTCCTATCGTGTTATATTTATTTTCACTCATAGTATACGTCGATTGTGTTTCGTAGCCGGTGGTACTTTTTGTCGAGTACTTCGTCGTATCGGAAGAGTAATTTTCGAAAAAGGATTTGATATCTTTTGTGGATCCAATTGTGTTGAATTTGTCGCTATAGCTGCTTTCTACTGGATTGTAGGACATATAAGCTCCAGTTAGAAAGGGATTTGTACTAGCATACGTCGTCGGTTGCGTATATAGTCCAAACATAGTTCCGGTGGTAGTATTCATGTTCGAGATGGTATTCTGAAGTCCGGATAACGAGGAAACCTGTGGTGTCGCTCCATCTAAGGTTACGTTCAATCCAGCTGAACTGGCTTGCATAGCTGGCGAGCTCGATCTAGATACCTAAAATATCAAAATATATTAATATTTAATTAGAACACGATAATGTAATTTTATGATCAAATAATAAATCTGACAATGAATGTAGGACAATATGAACAAGTAATTTGAAATGTTTATTGTGAAAAGCTTTTGGTAGGTATACATAATGAGAAAGTATTTGCTATAACATCGAAAGGTGATTTGATTGAAAATATAACATTTTCCCTATTTAGGCAACAAAAAAAATCAAACATATTTTATATACAGGGTGGCGTACCTCATTCGGCTCTGTTGATTATACGAAAACAGGAAGATGTAGACACAAAGTATTTTATTGGCATATGTGTACAATTTAAAATTATTTTGAAACATACAGGGTGTTTCAGAACTAAGATTCATACCAAAGTTATATTTTTTCTTATAGAACACCTGGTATTTTATTTCATTTTTGGATTCTTCAACGCAAAAAAGATATTTATTATCAGGGTTAAATATATTTCAAATCTTTGGTTTTTGAGATATTTAAAGATATTTAAATATGTATGTTGCAATATAATACATTATCAACAACCTGTACATTAATTTTCAGAATTAATTCTTGTGCTGAATTTAAAGTATATTATGTATTTTTTAAATAAATTGCTTCCTATGCCCACCTATGCCTATCTATGTAGCTCAGATTTTGATTAAAAAACGATTTTTTAATAAAATTGCAATCAAGAAATTGCTATGGCTGGTGTCGCCATAGCAATTTTCTAGAGTGACAGTTACTATTTTCAAAATCGACATTAGTTTATGGGCATTATTATTTAGATTTATAACAGTTTACTTAAATTTCTCACAATATAGTTTAAGAAGTAAGTATTCAATATTTTATCAGGCAAAAATATATCAGTATCTGGCGGCGGAACGAATGGATATTTATGTTACTAGTGATTCTATTTTGTGAGGATAATTGCGTCTTAGCCTCAAGGGCTTAAGCTCAAGGATATTCAAACAGGAATTTTCCTGATAAGCGTTCCTTTGAAAACCTACTTGTCCTATTTTGCAAAGCTAGTAGTGTTGTTTACAAAAAAAATATATTAGGCAGAAACCTGTCGTTGGAAGCGAAGAAAATGAATTTGCCGTAATTGGCTCTTTTATAGAAAATCCATATATCTACAAGTCATCATAAAATAAATCAAAGGACTACTTAGTCTTTCTTGATAGAATAATAAATACATATTTAATAAATAATGTTTATTAAACTATTGTAGATAAATTAAATAAAAGTAAATTGATATAAATTTAAATAAACTCCATAAACTAATTTCGATTTTGAGAGTCGCTACTAACTATCACTAGAAACTTTCCATGACGACATCAGCCCTCTTGGTTGCCATTTATTTTATTGAAAAATTGCTCATACATTAAACGAAGTTACCAAAATTTTCAGTAAAGTTTATTTCTCTGGCTTAAAATTCAGCACAAGAATTAATTCTAAAAAGCAGTGTACAGGGTGTTGACAATTTTTTTATATATTTTTTTATTAATTTTTTATTATATATTTAAATATCTTTAAATATCTCAAAAACCAAAGCTTGTAAACATATGTAACCCTTATAATAAATGCATTATTGTGTGTCCAAGGATCCAAATATGAAATAAAATACCGGGTGTTCCATAAGAAAAAATATAACATTGGTGTGGATCTTAGTTTTGACATACCCTGTACATTTCAAAATTAAATTATGCACATTGCCTTTCCACGTATACCCATAGAATATTTTGTTTCCACATCTTTCCGTTTTTGTAGAATAATTGAAGCGAATGAGGTGCACCACCCTGTATAATTATCATACAATAAAAATAAAATTATTAGTAGGTGAGCTCACCTGGCTAAACAGACTCGGCGATGCCCTACTGATACTTGTAACAGAGGGCGAATTTCTGGGTCCTGCCGGGGAGCCTATGGAAGAAGACAGTGTGGTAGAGGGTGATTGTCTCAGACCTGGAGAACTAATAGTGACCGATGGGGAAGATCGCATCATGGTTTGAGAAGAGGGAGAGGCGCGGATGGCCGGAGAACTAACGCGGCTGGGCAGGCAGTGTTTGACGGAGTCGGAGCCTGATTGGGAGTCACTACTGCTACTTGGCGATCCTGAGAATTGCAGTGGGTGTAGTTAGTGAAGTTCTTTTAGTAACTTTGTAAGGCTAACCTGGAGAGGATACTATCACATGTCGGGGCTTGATAGGTCCTGGGGGCGCTACCGGTCCCGAGGATGCCGGGCCTGCCGCTACTGGTAGGGCGACTCGAGGAGAGAGCGGACGGTAAGGACCTTTGCTTGCTGATGATGGGCCCTAAAACAATTTTATTAAACACGTTATAGTAATAGTATTATACCGGTACAAAACGATTTAAGCTTTAGATGTATATTTTACATCAGATCAGTAGAGGAAGGTGGGGGTTTCTACATCAGTGGTGGTGGTGGAGGGTGACTTAAACATTGTTTCTTATTTAAACCCGTTTATTTTTGTTTATTGGCATTTTTTGACCGTTTTTAGTCCGCTTTAAGTCACCCTCCACCTCCACCACCACCACAAATAGATACCAACTATAGAAATCCCCATCTCCTTCTACTCATATCTAACTATATGCTAGTTTCTAAGCATGTTTTAGATTTAAAGCTTAATTTGCTTAGTTTGTACTCGTACAACCCACTTATTAGTGTATAATATACAAGATCAAACTTCTTCACTAAATAATTATTATTAAAAATCATTAAAATATCATAAATGATGTCATATCACGAATATGCTTTGTTGCTTGTACGTGTATCTAGTCTTTTTCCACCTATCTTGTAATTATAAATAATGAACTTACTGTCTCTAACTGATTTTTGTGTACAATCTCTGTTAAAGATAGGTAAATATTAAATATGCCCTTTTAGGGTGGTGTCTTTTTATAAGAACATTACGAGTAAGTGACTTAAAATACAGACAACTTCTTAAAGATAGTAGTTCTTTAACTCCTTTCTTGCCTGGGTGAAAATTTTTACCTAATATAATTTTATCAGACATTGTACAAGGCCGTATATTATTTTATTTTTTTATGTTATATTTACTTTTCATGTATTAATACACTGAACTTGATTTTTTCCGCTTTTGCCACCCGATGTTATGATTAGAGTATCCATCAACATGTCAAAACCGTTGTGTTGACCGGTCTACTAGACTTAATGCAGCGGCGGCTGGTAGAATTTCGATGTATTATATCTTCGACTTTGTTTAATCGGAACACATGTTAATCGGAACGCCCCAATTGCAATGTTATAGTCGGTACACTATCTCCATAATCGGAACGTGTCTCTAAAGACGTCAGTTACATAGCACATATCTTTTGTATTAATAACGTGTCTTTTGCATTCCTCCATCTTTGAGAAACAGGTTTGAAATTGAATGTATAAAAATGTTCACTTCTGATCTTTAATATGTATGCTTGACGATCATCAGTTTGACGAATGAGTATCTAATTTCATCAGAAATTAAAAGATAACGTTGAAACAAAAACATGTAACGTTGAAACCTAAAAAGCGAAGTGATTTCAAAAACTATTCATAAATGGAGATTTTCGTGCAACCCAAAGGTGGCTTGAAAGGTTCAAAAATGATTCAATAAATACATAATGTTTAAACCTTTGTGGTTCTATGTTTAAATCTTTGGTGTTTTCTTCTTCTAAATGAACCCGCGGTTCAATGTTTATCCAGTTGACTGTCACTGGCGAATGAACATGGAAAACTAATATCTCTAGTATAGCTTGGATATGGATATACAATAGAGATGAATATGATTCCAAAGGATCATATTAGTTTACTGAAAAAGCGTCATAGGCAAGCTACAATAAAAAAAAACACAACAGAGAATTACAAGTTATTTTAAAAATTTGTCAACAAAAGAATAGGTAGCCCGAAACCAATGTGGGATAGAGAGTTATCGTGATATGCAATTTTTTCAATTTCAATTTGATTTTTATTATTTTTACAGGATAAAATTTCATATTTGTGAAAACAAATTGGCGTTATTTTTTTAATGTGTACTGATGTAACAAATCATCATTTTCAGCTTATTCAACCATTTCCAATTATGGTGTAGCCTCCCTCACATATTTAGATACTCTCTTTGTAGTTAGGCCCATTGTTGTCTATTGTTGGCTATGCGGGCCCATATATATGGTCCCATTTCAGGTTCGGTCTTCTAGGTCTCATAATTCCTCGTGGGTACCATGCTGTAATTTTTATGGTCCATCTTCTTCCATGGTTCTTCTTGCCAGGTGTCCTGCCCATTGCCATTTGTGGGATATGACTCTGTGGATGACATCTATTACCCGGGTCTTTTGTCGTATCCACTCTATTCTTTTACAGCCACACTGGGTTATTCCCAGCATATTTCGTTCCATTGAGCGTTTTGCAGTAACAAATAACTATTAATACCTATATTTCTCCAAAAAAATCCTATATGGGTTTTTCGCCACTGCAAGAAAATCTACAAAATAAAATAGTTATTTTATGTAAACACTTCTGCGTTCATCCCAAACGGAAACTACTTGTCAGAAGTTAGGTTTAAAGATATACAAATATGCCTACCGAACAAAAAAAATGCTTAACGTTTCGGAAAGTTTATCTCTTTCCGTCGTCAAATTCAACTATTCGAGAATATTTTAGTTTTTTAAAACCTTTGATTTAAAACAGATACGTCTACAAAATACCGTTGACGTTCTGTTAAAATGACATTATATCAATAATATAATATAATATATGATATAACGTCATTTTAACAGAACGTCAACGGTATTTTGTAGACGTATCTGTTTTAAAAAACTAAAGAGTTCTCGAATAGTTGAATTTAGATATTTTAAATAGGTTTTTCTTTATTCTTTGTGTTTTTTGGCTTCCAACGATGGAAAGAGATAAACTTTCCGAAACGTTAAGCATTTTTTTGTTCGTTAGGCAAATTTATACATCTTTAAACCTAACTTCTGACAAGTCGTTTCCGTTTGGGATTAACGCAGAAGTGTTTACATAAAATAACTATTTTATTTTGTAGATTTTCTTGCAGTGGCGAAATACCCATATAGGATTTTTTGGAGATAATACAATATGGCATAGTGTATATTATGTTCGCTAATCGGAAAGATTCGCTAATCTGAATAGGTCGTTCTAATTAGCTGTTCCTATTAAAGAGGTTTCACTGTACATCGAAATTCGACCAGTCGCCCGCGCCGCTGACTTAATGTTAAGAAATGAAATGTATACTCACGAGTATCTGGTGTGATGGGACCGGTGGCAACGGGCCTCGCGGCTGGGCCGAGGCTGCTGAGCGAGGAGGAAGAGGAGACGGAGCCGCTGAGGGCCGAGACTGCCCTAGGGCCGCCGCCCGCGCCCCCGAAACTTCCGCTGGACACGCACTGCGACTGTCTCCACGCGGCCCGGGCAGCCTGCCGCGCCGACCTGTCTGGAAAGGCCCCCTCTCAATACCAACACAACCCTCAACACCGAAACCGCTAACTACGAGGGGCGAGGCCCTAGCCCCAGCCCGCCACTATAGCTACAGCGTGCGGCGAGTGAGCGCGCGGGTGTCAAAATGAAAAGACGGGGTGCGTTTTATAGTTCAAATGAAGTTTCTTTGTCTAATTACGTATCAGTCTGTTAAAGAGTTTAAATACAGAAAGTAAAATAAAAAACAAAATTTGTTGTAATTTCCGGTGAAACAGGAAGTGACCGAAAGTAATTGAAAACGTCAATCAATCCTGATGTATGTCCTATACTAATACCGAGTGCGTCTCAAAAGTGGCTCCCCCATATAATTTTTTTATTTTTTCAGATAATATGTTATTATAATATGATAATATAATATTATGTTATTCAGATTTGGTATGTTAGTATATGACATAAATTATGATTCATTGACCTATTCAATTGTTTTTGGTCACTTCCGGTTTCACCGGAAATGACTACAACTACGAAATGACTACTGCAACTACAATTTTTAAATGGCACCCTCGGTATTTTTTTTATTTTATTCGATAGAAAATGACACTCTAAATAAAATGACATATCATATGTCAACTTTTGACATTTTTGCATATGGTTTATTTGAAATTATAACATACGGTTCATAACGATAATTTGACTCGAAATACTATGTGTGTGGTATCAAATCATTTGTAAAAAATGCTTTTTCCAAATATGCTAATGAGCCACCCTAGTTCCATTTGAAAAAATTGAGATATGATTAAAATACGATTTGGGCATCTTTTAACTGGCCAGCACAAGACGCTAAATTCATTAGACCATCAAATCTATTTTTCCAAGTCTCCTTGATTAAAAATTAGTGTTTTTAACACAGCCATGGCACTCTAGATTGAAATTTAAAATACAATTTGTTTTTGAGCGAATATGTCAAAAGTTGACATATGATATGTCATTCGATTCAGAGTGTCATTTTCTATCAAATAAAGTAAACAATACCGAGGGTGCCACTTAAAAATCAAAAGTTGTAGTCATTTCCGGTGAAACAGGAAGTGACCAAAAACAATTGAATACGTCAATCAATCCTAATTTATGTCATATACTAACATACCAAACTTCGTAATTTTATCTGAAAAAATAAAAAAGTTTATAGGGGTCAGCCACTTTTGAGACACACCCGCTATACCAAATCTCGTTTTTTTATCTAAGAAAAAATTAAAAAGTTATAGCAGTAAGCTACGTTTGAGAAATACTCGGTGTACATCCAAAATAGTAAAATTGTATCTCTAAAATACTATTTGAAAGTTATAATCTGTTCATTTTCTCAAAGTGGTGGCTCATGGCCCAAGTGAAACGAGATTAATAAAAACCAATGCTAAACCACTCTAAAATTGTTTTATTGGTGACCGATTATTATCAGACCTTTGTCAAAATCGCTGTTCATTTGACTTAATCTTAATAATGACATTAAATCAAATAAACAATTTTGGAGTGGTTTGGTATTGGTTTTTATTGAAATTATTTAATTTTAATATTTGTAACATAAAACCTATTTCTGGAGGAATTGAGGTTTTTTTTGTGATAGCGATTTATAGTGGAAATATTTAAAAAGCAAGCCTGTGAAAGAAATTAAAATATTTCTTCTAATAACTAGGGTAGTAACAAAAAAATACTGAAAAGGGGATTTATTTCGATATTTAGACATACGAATTATATTTGCATATAGAAGGATATAATAATAGGGAAACCTAGAACGATAAATTTCAAAATTCTCATTCTGTACTATTTACGACTACCATATTTATAGCATATTTATAGCAAGTAAGTACAGACTATCTAAAGTAAATACCTAATATAGTTTTGATTTCAGGACAGTTATTGTATTTTTAATTTTTTTTTTAAAGCTGAAAATCTTTGAAATTATCGAAATACGTTTACTCATATCTCAGGATCATGTAAAGTTATCTCAAAGGAAGCTCAAAATGCAATAATATACAGGGTGTTCCATTAAAAAAAATCATCCGTGTGAGTGAACTGCACACTTTTCTGAGCCACCCTGTAGAGGTTAAAATATTTTCCTGAAATACATCTTAGTACATACTTTAGGTTTGCACTTAAACAAATTCCTAACTTTTTTATTGCCGGACCCTGTATATTAAGAACTGATACATAATTAGAACATAATTACAGTTTTTAAATTTGTCTTATTAATATAGATTACAAAATATTATTTGTTTAGATATAATACATCGAATTTAATGTGAATAGTTTTAGTTTGATATACTACATTAAACGATGCAACATGAAGGACTTTAATTTTAATAAATAAAAAAAAACTTAGAAAAAATATTAAAGGTTTAGCGGGTTTTGGTGTGTTGACTATTGTGTTATAAGCAATTAATTAAATGCAGTTTGATAAATTCGGTGTATGTGAATTTTCTACACTATAATACGTACATAGTGTCTCTAAAGATATGTGCAGATGCTTGATACTTTAAAAACGAATTAAAATATTTGCACTATCGCTTAAAAATCCATCTCACATATTTCAAAAAAGAGTAAGCATCACTCTAATGAGCGAAAATTAATAGAAATTCTAGCTAAGTAGCTCCAAAATAAAATGGCGCAAAAATAAAACATTAGTTAATACACCAAAACACTTTACTTTTGCTCCGGACGCGCGCTTCGCTAACTATATTAGCATCATCATCAGTGCGCGTCCAGTGTAAAATTAAAGTGTTTTGTTGCATTGCAGTAAACTAGTGTTTTATTTTGCATATTATCTTTTATTAAAAAGGAAGGACTTGTCCTGACTGACATCTCAACCTTCCACATATCAGTGATATACAGGGTGTAATTTGCACTTCAATAAATGACACCACGTGCGAAAATAAAAGAATAGTTCTTATGAATTGAGTTATTTAGTAGTTAGGTATAAATAAAATAATATTAAGTATTGTTTATTAGTAAGAACAGTGGCAAACCATTTCTTTTTTGAAGTTTCTCGCAATTTCTTTCTCTTAGAGAATACACTATACAGTAATTTCAGCTTATCAGGAGTCTTATCACATAAAGTTCTATGATTTTTTCTGTAAAAAGGTATTCTTCATTTAGTTCAAAATCGCAAAAGTTATTAATACAACGGTCATTTTGGCATTGCTGAAATCATTCATGCTAAGTAAAAGTTTAAAAGGTAACTATAGTTCGTCCATCGAGAGGATACATAACAGTGACAGTTGTGTCTTTATTGCATTATCGTAACAACCGCTTTTCAAAGTTGCACACAAACTGAATTTCTTCAATGAAAAATTTGGTGAGATTTGCACACTCTATCCTTATGGAAAGTACCCTTTTAAAACTAAACTTTCAAACTTGAATAAACAGAATACAGGGTGTTTTCAAAGTTGAGTCATTGATTTTAACAGCATGTAGAACTCCTCAAAAGAAATTGATACGCCAAAAATCACCTATATAAAAGTTGCATAATAAGGGAGTTGTAGGTCTTTTTAGTAATAATAATAATAATAAATAATAAATAATGTTTATTGTGCAAATGTAAAAAAGTACAAATAAAAATAATAATTATTTTTTTAAATTAAAAACATTCATTATCGGTAAGATGTTTCCATTTTTACAAAAATTGTTCAAAATTGTCACCATTTGTCCTATTAATGTATATTCTTGCTCAGCGTACCCACGACTCCTGACAGGTCTCAAAAATAAAATCCGGATGTCCGCGAATAACATCAAAAGCATTTACTAGCATTAATAACATCACAAGCATTATTATGCGGTCTTGAAGTTCTTCCGCAGTATTTACTTCTCCATCATGGTACACCAACTGTTTTAAATAACCCCACAGAAAAAAATCACAAGGCGTTAGGTCCGGGAAGCGTGCAGGAAACGAGTCCATTCCTCCCTATCCATCTATTCGAAAACTGTTCATTCAAATATTCACGAACTCCTCTTCTGAAATGCGGTGGAGCTCCGTCATGTAGAAACCACATATCCTGCCTAACATTTATTGGAACATCTTCTAATAATTCTAGCAGATTGTGTCGAAGAAAATCTAAATAATTGTCACCGGTTACCCGAGGTGGAAAAAAGTAGTCCAATAAGCATGCCATTTACTACACCAGCCCAAATATTTAATGAAAATCTATGTTGGAAATTAGATCTTCTTACGGCATGCGGATTTTCTACTGCCCAAACATGATTGTTGTGAAAATTGAGTACACCATTTCGTGTAAATGTGGCTTCGTCTGTAGCTAAAATTATTTTCGTAAAATCTTCATTGCTGTTCAACCGCTGTTGTAAAAACCACTGGCAAAATTCAACTCTTCTAGGATGATCTTCAGGTTGTAATGCTTTTACCCGTTGATAATGATAGGGATAATATTGTTCCTATCGTATTGTTTTCCACACTTTACTATGAGAAACATCGACTTGAGTTGCTATGGCTCTGGTACTTATTGTTGGGTGATCTTCCACCATTTCCAAAATAGTTTCCTCAATTTCTACCATTTCAGTTATCATCAGTATCCTATCTCACGAAGTCGAATAAATAAATATACAAACATCCGTGGAGCCAGATGATTTTTTAATATTATGTCCACTATTCGTTGTTTCCACAAACGTGGGCCATTTTTCCGTACAAAAAAATATCAAGGAAATGAAAGTGATACGCACTAAACGCTTGATACCAATATTTAACCGAAAATCGTTCTCAAAACCATAAAAAAAATCAGCCATACCTATATAAGTAAAACTTAGTAGTAATATTTAACGCTACGTTTTTACTTGGCAGTGGCCAGGAATAAATCTGCGGATAAATAGTTTTTGTATTTGTGTTAGTTTTAAAATTTTGAAATTCTTTTTTATTTCTTTTAATATGCAACTTTTATGTAGGTGATTTTTGGTATATCGACTTCATCTTTTGACGAGTTCTACAAGCTGTTAAAATAAATGACTCAACTTTGAAAACACCCTGTATATTATGTTAATCTACCGCTTCAAGGGCTGTAACTGTCAGGAAGCAGTTAAGAGCTCATAGGATTTATTTTTATTTTCACAGTATCATCCACTGAAGTCCTGTACTCATTATTTACACCCTGTATATCAATTATGAAAATGATATTATTTTAAAATGTTTGTATATCAATTGATTCATCTATCATGCACTAAAATAAATATGATGGTTTTGAATGACGTATCGCTAAATAAAAGTCAATCCATCTGTATTTACACATTACCTGAGTGGTGTTTGGGTGTAGGCCATATTTGCAACAAATATCGAAGAACACTAATCGGCTGTTGGTACTCCAAGTCGTGGGACTTCGCAGAAGTTGGTGTCATCGTATCTCCAGAATGTAGCATCAGTGGAGGAGCTAACGCTGTTGCCAGGTTTTGGGCATTCATTTTGTTCCTGTCGGACGCCGACACGACTAGCGCTAAATGATCCATCAAGAAAATAAGCGTAGCCTGAAACATTTTTCGTTTATTTAAGAGTAGAAGGCAAAGTTGATTAACTAAAAAAATATTTTTGAAATACATTGCCTTTACTTGTAAAAGTTTTTCAAGATAATATACAGGGTGAGTCTTAAAACCTAGAAACACGAGCTTTTTCGGAATTTTTTTTGAAAATTTGGTATTTTTAAAAATTTAGTATCTCGTTATTATGGCAACATAATTAGTAGATTAAATTTACAAAAAAGAAAACCGAGAAAAAATCCAGTTGTTCTTAACTATGATCAAAAAATTTAAATTTTCAAAGCCAAATAACCAGGCAAATAACTCAGTTATTTTGGAGTTATTTGAAAAACGGTGAAGAGAAAATATGTTTCATTAATCGAGATCTACCAGCCCTGGAAATATATGCACTTATTTAAGATTCACCCTTTATAGCTCCTCACATCTCATACAAGAGATAAACTTTTTTTTGATAAACTTTTGATATCGTGATTATCGCTTTGGTTCAAGGCTCGGTTCGAACTAAAAACTAGACTGTGGATAGAAACCTAGACTGTTGATAGGAATGTATTTTGTGGTAGCCGCTACATTACGATAAAAAGTAGTAAAATATACGTATATGCAAAAGAAAAGAATTAATCGTTTCCGTTTTAGGTAGATATAAATATATTATGCAGATTTTTAGCCGACCATACCAACAGGTATGGTAGGCTATTAAGATTGACAAAATTTTTTTTTTTTAATTTCAGTCAAAATGAGTTATTTGGGTCATAAATGACAATACAAAATATTTTCATTGTATCTGTCTGTCTGTCTGTCTGTCTGTCTATCCGTCTGTCCGTATGTAACACGATAACTCAGATGGAAAAGAAATACTGCCATCATAGGAAGTGAAATATCTGGGAATAACCCTGAACAGTAAACCTCTCTGGAACAGACATATTAAGAACATTACCAGAAAGGCTCTCATGATATGCAGAAGACTGGCGGGAAATGATTACCTATGGAGCAGTTGCTTGGTATACAAAACTAGGGCAAAACCTCTGCAAAGTACAAAGGTTGGCATATATGTATGTTGTCATGGTGTCTGTCTGTCTCTCTGTCCGTCTGTCTGTCCGTCTGTAACACGATAACTCAAAAACCGCTGAACCGATTTTAACTAAATTTGGCACAAAATACTGTGGCACCGAGAATCTGGCTATTAGTTTTTGGTAGTGGGGGGGGGTTGGTAAGGGGGTATGGGAGGGGGTTAAAAATTTTAAAAAATCGTGACTCCATAATTACAGTAGCTAGCGAAACGCGGTTTTTAATTTAAGATTAGGAATAATATTTGCAACAAAAATCCAAAAGTCGCAGTTTTTGAGATAAAAAAAAATTGGAAAAAATCCTTTACTTTGAAACTAAAAGAACTGCCTACCAACTTTTTATTAACATATTTTAGTATGGGCAGCTATACGTGCCTCCCGGCGCCAATTTTTTTTTTATTTGCTTGCGTCGACCCGGGGACATATGCTTCTTTAAACGTTAAGTATTTTTTGTCGATTAGTGATATATGTGTAGGAGTAAAGAGCTACAAGAGGTTTGTGGTCGTGAATTCTAAACTCAGTGGAATTTTACATTTTTAAAATTTCTCTATGGTGCCCGGTGGCGTAAAGGTACAGCTCTCGTCTACCAACCTAAAGATTGTGGGTTCGAATCCAAAATCGAAAATCGTTTGGGTACCTGAGTTGACATGGGGTCGACTCAGCCTTAAAATGAGTACTTGGGATTTACAATCCTGAGGTAATATATGAGGTAATAGGCGGTAGATACATATTGCTAGCCACATTACCTTCCTTGTATACCGAACGACTCTAGCATGGCAAGCTGTACCTTGCTACTCCCTTATTAACCCGCTTGTTAACCGCTCTACCTTTACGGGATCTATCATTATTAAAATTTCTTTAGCGATAAGTATATTCCGATTTTGTAGTAGCGTACTCTTAGAAATATAAAGACATAACTTACCCTATTTATTCTTGGCAAACAGTCCAAAATTGAAAACATCAACTTGGCATTGCCTTCAGGATCGTCTGGTAAACAAACGCCCAAAGCATCCACCATCATTTGATAGAGACATTTGGTAAACAGTGGTTCTGGTAATTCCCTTAAATAATCCTTTAGTACTCCAGTAATTACGTTGATGTCAGGTACGTTATCCGGACTTAGATCTACCGAACGACTATTCCTCTCGAATGCTTCTCTGAGAATGCGTTTCTTGGTGGCCGATCCGCATAGACGATATAATCCTTTAAAAATAAAATGTAATTGTATATAAATGAATTCCTGGGCATTTAAGAAGAAAAGGGAAACCTTTTGAAATTGAACTTTAATCTCTGTATATAGCACTTTATACCGTATGATCGAAACAAAATTTCGTCAAAGATGCCTGGAAAATGACAATCGACGATAACTTTGGCAAGGTAACGTCATTTACTAAAAATTAACATAAAACTTGTCAAAAATTAGCACTGATTATAGAAATATTTAAAAAAATAGAACGTTTCCAGACATACAAACCGATTTCCAAAAATATTTTTTCTCGAGTTTTAAATTACACCGAGTTAAACATTAGATTTACTCAAATTAAAATAAACTACCATCTTCTTAAGGCCAACTGGCAATAAGCACCATTAAAATATAAAGAGTACGGGCCAAGTAAATGACGTCTATAGGGCTTGACCGCGCCTAAATTATTATTGATTGTTATTTCTGAACCGTCTTAGACGCCGTTTTTTTTTGGATCATATATTATATTCTTATATTAATGGTTTCCTAATATTTATAATTATGTAGTACTTCGTAGTACTTTTATTAAACCCTTTCTATTACAGAATTAGTATTAAATAAAAAATGATTTTCAGGGTTAGGCAATAGTGCGTCGGGCATCTGTAGCTCCTATAAAAAACTTGGGAATTTTGTTTTAAATTCCTATTTAAGTACAAACCTAAAGCATGTACTAGTATGCATTTCAAGAAAATATTTTAACTTCTATAGGATGGCTTAAAAAAGTGTGAGTGAATCGAGATTATTTTTCTGGAAAACTCTGTATATTATTGCATTTTTGGCTTCCTTTCAAATAACTTTACATGATCCTAAGATATGAGTAAATATATTTCGTCTATGACAGTTTCAGAGATATTAATAAATAAATAAGATATATACTATATTTTTCAGCTTTTCTCAAAAAAAATATTAAAAATACAAGAACTGTCCTAAAATGAAAACTATATTAGGTATTTACTTTAGATAGTCTGTACTTACTTTGCTATAAATATGGTAATCGTAAATCATACAGAATGTTCAAAATTCTACATCAAACTTGGTGAAACATAAAATATTTTTTTTTCGTTTTTTTAACACCCTGTATATTATTTTTTAATAGAAGGGGAATTAAAATATGAACATTTTTTGTATTTAGAGTATTTCAAAATTTTTAGCGGTTTCGCAGATATTCGCAGTTTTATATTTCATATGGCATTTTCCATAGTAAATTTTTATCAAAGCCAATGATTTTTCTCTCGTATTTTACCGTTGAAAGAGCCATATAAAATAATACTGTATTCATCTGCGAAACCATTAAAAAATACTTTAAATGCAAAAAATGTTCATTTTTTAACCCTCCATCTAATAAAAAATAATATACAGGGTGTTACATTTAAAAAGGAAACAAAGAAAAATTATATTATATTTTAGAAAGTTTGGCGTACAATTTTCACCCTGTATGATGTAAGATTACGATATTTATAGCAAAGTAATTACAGACCATCTAAAGTAAATGCCCAATATAGTTTTGATTTCAGGATAATTCTTGTACTATTTGTAATAATTTTTGCAATTTAAGCATGGTTAAGAAATACATATTTTTTATTTATTTGCTAATATCTCTGAAACTAACGAAATACATTTATAAGTGATATATTCTCGGGAAGCGGTCTGTAAAAAATACTCATATCTTAGGATTATGTAAAGTGACCAGAAAGGAAACCAAAAATGTAAGAATGTTCCATTTAAAAAAAGCATCCCGACCCACTCACGCTTTTTTAAGCCACCATGTAGAAGTTAAAATATTTTCCTGAAATACAACCTAGTACATAGTTTAAGTTTGCACTTAAATAAAATTTCCAAGTTCTTCATTCTAGGAGCTACATATACAGATGCCCGACGCACTACTGCCGGACCCTGTATAATTTATGTATTATATTTTTAGTAAAATGTGAATCCCAATTTATAAAAAAGAAAAAAACATGCTTTTGTACTTTAGACCAAGTTTAGACAAGCTATTACCATGACATGCATATAAATTATTTGACATGTCTATTTTTCTCTTGTCACTTCTCTTTAAACCGAAGTTACAATTAACTTATTTTAAATGAGAAATCCGGGTCATTTCTATGTATATCGAAAGGTTTTTTTTGCTAGATTCTGAGTAATAAGTATCTAATCAATCATTCGTATTCGAATTAATTCATCATTCGAATTTGAGTTTGATAAAATAGAATATTTGTGTCTTACATAAATTAGAAGATTAATTTTTAGATAAATATACCTATCTGAAAGACACTTCGATCAACATGAGACAAAAAAAACTCAATAAAATTGCCTTACCTATGATATCAAGACCGCGTCTTTCTACTTCCTCTACACAACGTTTTACAATAATAGGAATGCTGTGCTGACTTCCAGTCACCAATCCAGTCGCTACACCTCCCGGAACACCGCCAGTCTTATTTTCTCGATTAACCACACTTTCTAAATCGACTCCGAATAATGGAGTAGTTCTTGATAATGTTAAGGTAGTTAAAGCTCTTCGTCGATACAGATTTTGGGAGTCCGTATATCTCAGTCTCAAGTACAGAGTACCTAAAAATATTTTAATTACAATAGTTTTAGAAATGAATAATATGTTTTCAATAGTTTGCATTATAATCAATGGGCATTTATACTATTTGAAGTTAGTTCATATATTTGTTTTTGTTGAAATGTAAAAGTATAATGCTGACTACACATTTAACTCTTATTTTAGGATATCAAATGTTTACTTTTGTTATGGTGACGGCCTATAGGATGACGTAATCTGTGTCAGCGTTTTTTAACAGAGAGTTTGGTATAGTTTAAGTTAGTTTAGTTCAGTCGTCTTTAAGCAACTTTACTCTAAAGAGAAGTTTATAATAAAGTCATTTTTGTTAATCACGAGTTGTTATTTTATTTTGTTTCACTGACCACGCAAATTCAACAACAGTTTTTTTTAATATTTTAAAAAGAAAAATGTCAGTAGAATTTGTTATAGCTGATGCAATGATTATAGTAATGGGAATACAGTAACATCAAGAAAATTATAATTTTTCCCTCACAGCTTCAACCTTTGGTGGTTTTATATGTACACAAGTGACCAAAAATTGTGATTTAGGTAAACGTGCGTATCTCAGTCTTCGAGAGTACCTAAAAGATTTGTATAAAATCGTTTAGCAGTTGATAAAATATACATATTTGAAATTTAAACCATTCCCAATTGGCATTTTGTTGATTTAACTAGTTTTTAATTTATAGCGAAACTAGGTCTATTCATAATTATGAAATTAAATATCTTGTTGTATCTATTCGCAACTTCTTATCTGTACTTTGTTGAAAATAAAGCTAATTTGATTAGTAATTGTTTAATATAATTAATTATGGGGATGTAGTAAGAGTAAAATAAAATTTAAAAAGAAAATTCTGTTGTTAAATCATCGTAGACTTAATACGAATTGGGCTAGACATGGATTTACATCGATTATTATTTTAGCAAGGAGCAATTATTATCTTTCTTATCTGTATTTGTTGAAAATAAAGCTAATTTGTTTAGTAGTTGTAGTGTGTTAGTATAATTAATTATGGGGATGTAGTAGGAGCTAAATAACAATTTAAACAACAAATTTTTTTGTTGAAGCGTCGGAGAATCCTATCCATACGAATTGTGCTAAACATGGATTTAAATCGATTATTATTTTAGCAAGGAGCAATTATTATTATCTTTCTTATCTGTACTTTATTGAAAATAAAGCTATTTTGTTTAGTATAATTAATTATGGGGATGAAGTAGGAATTAAATAACATTCTAAAAAACATTCAACCAAATTCTGCTGTGGAAGCATCAGAGAATCATATCCATACGAATTGTGCTAAACATGTTTTTATTTATATCGATGATTATTTTAGCAAGGAGAAATTGTATGCTCTAAAATAGTAATAAACAATATATTATGTGCATTTTAATTTACTATTTAAAATAATATTTTTTTCATAAAATATTAATGATTTAATGATAAGAAAAAAATATATATAAATTATAAAAAACTCCCAAATACGTCAATATTGACGCATACATAAATTAATTAATCTTTAATATACACGTACACCGTCCGCAGTTTACCTCATCAATCAACATCAGACTAATTAGGAATTTATGACTTATGATTTACTCTATTATTTGGCCACGGCCAACTGCTGAAGGTGTTCCAGTAACAGTCGAAAAGTTAATTAATAATAATCAGCCTTAACTTCCGTTTAATTTTACAGCCTCGCGAAAAAAATATTTAGATCAAAAAACAATACTTTCTGCTCTGAACTCGATTTTAATTTTTAACCAAATTTCAGGAGATTTATGGAGAAATCTAGCGAGGCTACAAAACAGTTGGTACCAAAAAACTAATCAAGATGGTATCAAAAAAAATGCTTTTTTTAATGAAATCAGAATAATTAATTAGCCTCCATAAACGAAGGCCTTATGATTGCTTAATTTTATTACATTGTAAGTAAATGTATAGCCTTTTTAACCTTCATGTAAACCATATAACTAGTAAGGCACAAACTACTGAAAAGTCTATACTGTTCTTACGTTAGATCAGTCTTGGCGAAGGCGTTGGCTTGTCGGGTGTGGTCTCCTTGCTATAGCAGATATATTCAACAAATTACACAAAGAGAGTACAGAGAAAGTTAGTAAGTAGTTCTAAGATGGGTGGGTATTAGGGGTGGGGACGTTGTGTATGAGTATGTGCTCAGGTCGATTGGTCTGATTATAGAGATATGGTCTTTTAGAGAGAGAACGAGATACTGCACGGTGTGATTGACTGTTCCGAATTGTTGTCTATGATAAATATATCTGAATCACACAGGGCTTTGAGGGAATTCGATTTATTTGATGTTCCTTTACATAGAACTAATTATAGTCTATCGTCTTCTTTAACACGCTTTTCGGTGACAGCAGATGTATTGGTCAGGGCTACTGACATTGCTTTTTTTAATTACTCATTTTGATGGCTCAAAAATAAGTAAAATTCTGTGATATACAGGGTGGTCCGAACTGTATTCCGGAAACTTCGGCAGTATATTCTGCAGGTAAAAATAAGTAAGAAAGTACGTATAAATGTATATCCTAAAATTCTTAGTTTCAGAGATACAGGATGTAGAAGTTTCATTTTTATTTCGATTTTTTCAAAATAATTTCTGAAATAACGTCAATATTTGGATGAAAATTGGTGTCTGGGAGTTTTTTGACATGAGAAATTTGATTTTGATGTCAACATGACTTCTACTAGTAGAGGGCGCCACCTACGTGTGTTTTAACTGTTTTGAAGCGTAATAACTTTTTGTCCGTACCTGTATAAAACTACCGAGCAAAAAAATATACATCTCTGTTTTTTACGTAAAAAATATATCTTTGTAAAAATCGCTACGAGCAACCGTTCTTAAGATATTTAGAATGGAAATAGTAAATACATCATTATTAACGAAAAATAAACACGTTGAGTAGATAGTTATTTCACTGAAATAATAAATTTGTGAAATTTTTATTTTTTTAAATTAATCATAAATTTTTCTGCAAAAAATGATGATAAAACAGTTTTTGTTGAACATTTGGAACAAAAATATTTCAAATTTATGATTTGAGTAATAACTATTTAGTCAACATGTTTAATTTATGTCAATGATTTCTTTTCCAAATATCCTCGAAAACCATTACTTGTAGCGGTTTTTACCAAGAGACCTCTTTCACGTAAAAAACGTTGTAAATGTATATTTTTTTACTCGTAGTTTTATATAGGTACAGACGAAAAGTTATTACTCTTCAAACCAGTTAAAAAATATGTAGGTGGCTCCCTCTACTAGTAAGAGTCATATTGACAACAAAATCTAATTTCTCATGTCAAAAAACTACCAGACACCAATTTTCATCCAAATATTGACGTTACTTCAGAAATTATTTGGAAAAAACGAAATAAAAATAAAATTTCTACACCCTGTATCTCCGAAACTAAGCATTTTAGGACATACATTTATACGGACTTTTTTACTTATTTTAATCTGCAGAATATGTTGCCGAAGTTTCCGGAATACAATTCGAACCACCCTGTATATTGTTTTAATAAAAACGAAAAAGATTTTAAATAAGAAACTTTTTTTGTTTTTCTCCGTTAATATATATTTATTTATTTTTTTATATCATTAAAATATTTTATTGCTGTTTGTTATGCTGCCAAAGAAATAAAATTTAAAAAAAAGTCCGGTAAAAATAATACAGGCAGCAATTGTAGCTCCTTATATGGTAACCTCAATAACCTCATATATGGATATATAAAACGTTTAAACAAAAGTGGGAGAAAGACGCTAGTCTTTTTAGTTATTTACCTCTAGGTTCGATTTTAAGTGCCAGCTGGTGAATTGGGCCGGACTTGAGCAAAGTGGGAAGGTATACGGATCCTTTGTAGCAGAGCTTGTGTCTGTATTGAGGGTCCCAAGAGTAAATTAACAAATCCAATTCCCTGTTGTTGACTAGGTCCAATTCGAAGCTTTCATCCCAATCGAAGACTAAATCGCCAGTTCTCACCTGAAGAAAATAATGGTAACGGTTATATATTTACGGAGGTAAAAAGACGTTGAATTTTAGATAGTTTTCACTTATTTACTATTGAAAAGTTATTAAAATATATAACGCAAAATTTCATAATGTAAATATGAATATAGCATATCTATAAAGAAAGAAAAAAAAACGAAAATGTTTACATTTGAAATGCCATTTTTTCATGGAATAACTTTTAGATGAAGGTTTTATATTTTAGCTCTGATAATATATTTATATTTTTAGTTTTATATTCTGCTCAAGATAATTTAAATGTATTTTCGTTTTTTTTATACAGAACCAATTTTTATATATGTATATAGAGTGCAAAAAAAATTGTCAGTAACAATCTATTGTAATTCATCTTTTTATTACGTTAGAAGATATAAATACCAGGGGAGAACCAACTCAAATATTGATGTAGGGACGACCCTTCGGGGTTATGTTTTTAGGAATTAAATTATTTACAAAAAAACAAGTAAACAGGTTAATTTTTCCAAAGAAATTAATGTTTGCTATAGTCAGAGCTATAGCAAACTTTGTTAAAAAAGTTGTTATAGTATAGAAATTTTAAATTTTGATAAAATTTGATTTCGAGAGAGTGAAAAAGAAAAGAATGATGCCTATATGTCTACATTGCCTATATGAAAATATGTTAAAGAAATCTGACAAAGGGTTTTAAATAAGCGTGTAAGTATATAAAAATACTTGCTATTTGCCTGTATAAATATATATAAAAATATATGTTAATAAATTTGTTTTATCTTTTATTAATTCTATTGTTTTATATATTTTTTTAATTCAATCTAGTTGTCTTATTTGTATTTACATGTTTTTTTCTTTTAATATTTTATTCATTGTCAATTTAAAATTTAAACTAAATTTAGATCCCATAAACACATAGGAAAAAAAGTAAGTTTGGATTCAGTTATTTTTAGAGCCTTGGGGAAGATAATATTATGATCATTGTTAGTTCCCAGTAGTTAGTACGCAATCGTGGGTGTCGACTTTATTGTCGCTTCTTCAGGCACTATAGAAGAAGCAATTTTTTAAAAATATCAAAAGGAAATCAAGTAGCCACTTCCCCAAAACATATATTAATCCAAATGCCTACAAACATTCCTGGCGATTCCAACCACCAACACTAAGACACATACAGACAGAACAGAAACTTGGGATATTTTTGCCACCATTGTACACCGATAATTTTTTGTTTCCTTTACCAATAATTTATTTCCCCGTGTTTCGGGAAATTTGAAAAAAAAAACGAAATACGGGGAAAGAAATTAGAAGTTTCTGTTCGTTCGTCTTTATGTGTCTTAGTGTTGGCGGTTGGAATCGCCATGAATGATTGTAGGCATTTGGATTAATATATGTTTTGGGTAAGTGGCTACTTGATATTCTATTGATATTTTTAAAAAATTACTTCTCCTATAATGCCTGAAGAAGCGACAATAAAGTCGCGAAACGTCGCAAAAACAAAAATTGTTTCCTTTCGAGCCTTCACAAACACCCACGATTTTTTTTCTGCGGGAGATAATATATTTGTCGAAACGTCGACCAAGGACTAAATAAAAAACTTGAGATTTATTTTGACCCACATCCAAATAAATAAACACAATTTTAATTAAATTATCTGTTTGTTAATTCCACTATTTGCTAAACAGTCTGTTTTATAAACTAGAACTCTTAAAAATAAAATAAAGAGAACATTCTTTTTCCTGATGTGATTATTTTCGAAAGATAAAATCCAATTTTCTTACTCCACATAGTTTCCAGGTTTAACTATTAATTACTAGTAATAGTCCAGTAAATGAAGGTTAAAACCACTGCTTAATTCGTCTACCAGGACCTTTCAGGCGGATTGTGTACCTTTTGGGGAGTAGTTTTAGCGGAAAAAATTGGGAAAAACACCGAGCTTTGGCCGCGAAAATAGCCCCAAATGACCCAAATATCAGATTTTCGCAAATATCTGCCAAAATATGCAATTTACAATTTTTTTTCTTGAAATAAAAGATGAATGCTCAGGTATTTTCTACGTAAAAATAGTAGTTTTCGAGATATTCCGCCTCGAAATCCCTGAATTTTCTTTCCAAGTCTTAACGCCCCGAAGATAGATTTCATATAAGCGTATCATTAATTGATAATTTATAAATTGTTTAATAACTCGCCTAAAATTTAATATTTTTTAATGATTCAAAATTCATTTAAAAGGTAGAATCAACAACTATCACATTTTCGAACTTGTTTGAATTTTCTCATGTTTTACGCTAATAAAAAAACCATATAAATATTCCTCCCAAAATTTCCAGATTTTTACAAACTTATTATACAAAGCTTATTTGTCAATATTTTAACAGTTGTTTTCAGAGTATCTTTAAGCAACTCAGAAAATTTGAAGTTTTATTTAATCACATTTTAATAAAAAATAACTATTCGTGGTTGTTTTCTTTCCGCTTTTTTTGGGATTTCCGGAAAGTTTAACGAAAAAAAGTGTCAGTATCATTGTTTTAGCTAAGGATCCAATATTCCATTTGGCGACCGTGAAAATCATCTACATGCCATATTTCGACCAAAATTGGCGGAAAACCCGTCCTTGAGTTTTCCTAAAAAGTCAAGGAACGGGAGAAACAGTTTTTAACCATTTTCCTGGGACTTTACGAAAAAAGTGTCAGAACCTTTTTTGTAGATAATGACCTAAGTTTCATTTTTTTTCCAAGAAAAAAATTGTAAGTTGCATATTTGGTAGATATTTGCGAAAAACTGATTTTTGGGGTCAGTTTTCAGCCGAAGCTGGCTGACCACGGTGTTAAAAATGGTTCCCCTAAAACTACACCCCAAAAGGTACACAATCCTAAATAGTCAAGTCACTCTAAATAGTCAAGGTCGACGTATTACGACGACTTGTGTCTTTTCGTGTCCTTATTTACTGGACTATTAAACTGAGAGATAAATCTCTATATCTATTTAGTACTTTTTTATCCAGTGAGGAGGATTCTATGTTGACAAAATAACAAAAAATGTATCCAAAACGATAGAATGGTATGCTTCAGCAATTTGCAGTAAAATGTGTAGGTTTGTGTATGATTTATAATCCATATTGTACAGGGTGGTCGAAATTGGTCTGTTTTAACAGAGTAAACCTATTTCCTGACTAGATAGAGCAAAACCGACATAGATGTCATGGGCTCCATTTCTGAGATACGTTTAATGGCATAAATCGCCTGTAGATATTTTCACTGCCAACTGAGATAGGGGTCTTTTTGAATTTTTTACCATTTTGAAAATTGCCCATAACTTTTGTATTTCCCGGAATTATAAAATTCTGTAAAAACGTTCTTAAGGCACTTTTTTAAGCACAATTCAGTGGCGTAGTCAGTTTTTTTTCTATACTTGCTCTTTTTGTCAGAAATGATAAAAAATATAATTTTTTAAATGGAAATCATAGTTGGCTAAGAACTTAAAAAAATGCTGGCGTTTAACCCTTTCCAACGATATAAAGTTATGTGTATTTATTTCTAAAAGTCAGAGAAAAGCGGGCCTTGATTTTGTGTTGACCTAGTTGCCTAATTATTTTTTATCACAATTTAATATTCTATATTTTTATTTATCTGCATAATTAAAGACTTTTGAAAAGGTAAATCAACATTCTATATTAGTATTACCAATTATAATTAAAACGCCAAATGGAAAATTTGGAGAGAATTGGAATGGAAAAAGGGGCCCCATATCTTGGCCTGCTAGGTTCTGTGGTTTAACCCCTTTCGACTTTTTTATGGGGGAAATTAAAAGACCTTATAAATAAGGGAAGAACCGTTGGGACGAGAGGAGAATTGCAGAAGGCTACTATAGACAAGCTTTTGGACTTATTACACCAGTTCGCCTAATAAATCGCTGTAATTCCGTGCGCAAAAGATGTTTATTGTGTATTCAAGAAGGAGATGCTGTTTGAACATCTTTGAGTTTTTTTTAGAAAACTACATTCGTCACTCAAAAATACGTTTTTTTAGTTTTGTTCTTTGTTTATTGTACAGATTTCAATTGTAATTACTAATATAGAATATTAATTTACCTTTTCAAAAGTTTTTAATTCCGCAGATAAATAATAATATAGAATATATTAAATTGTGATAAAAAATAACTAGGCAAATACCGTATGATCGAGAAAAAACGGCGTCAGCGTTGGCTATGAAATGAAGATCGCTGTCATTTTATATGTAAATTTATATGGGAAATGTCATCGATCGTCATTTCCCAGCCAACTGGACGCCGTTTTTTTTTCGATCATACGGTATATCAACACAAAATCAAGGCCCGCTTCGATGTAAAGATAAAAACCCTAATATTTCTCTCATTCTTAGAAATAGATACTCATAACTTTATGTCGTTGGAAAGGGTTAAACGCCATCATTTTTTTAAGTTCATAGCCAACTATGATTTCCATTTAAAAAATTATATTTTTTATCATTTCTGACAAAAAGAGCAAGTATAGAAAAAAACTGACTACGCCACTGTATTGTGCTTAAAAAAGTGCCTTAAGAACGTTTTTACAGAATTTTATTAGACCGCGAAATAAAAAAGTTATGGGCAATTTTCAAAATGGTAAAAAATTCAAAAAGACCCCGTAACTCAGTTGGCAGTGAAAATATCAACAGGAGGTTTATGCCATTAAACATGTCTCAGAAATCGAGCCCATGACACCTATGACGGTTTTGCTCTATCTAGTCAGGAAATAGGTTTACTCTGTTAAAACAGACCAATTTCGACCACCCTGTACATCACATCCTTGTAGTTATAATTTTAAGCTTGATCTTGCAATATTCTGCATAATGATGTAATAATAAAGGGCTCTAAATAATATCTTATTAAATATAGAAGTTTGTTACGTTTGCCTAGAGCCTTCGTTTCATTCCGTTCGACAATGAAAGAGAGGTTCCATTATTGTCAGAAAAAATGATAATTTGATACTGCAATCCTTAGAAAATTGTTTAAGTTAACCCTTTTTTAAATCAAAAATTTAATGTCAAGTTAACCGGAAGTGTTGACGATACCATTGTCACCTGGACTAAATATCTTATAGTATGATGTTTTATGGAGAATATCTCAAATTTGGTAGGTAAACACTTACCACAGTACGAGCTTTGTGTACTCTGTCGCATTCCAGAACGCAGTACAAATCCCTTAAACCAGTGGATCCTAAAACACAATACAGTTTAATCTTTTTATATAACTTGTACAAAAAATATATATTTCACACCTCCTATAGTTGGTACTCCTCCGCTAGGTGTAACTGGAGTAGTTGCAGCTGAAGTACCGGTAGATGCTCTCAACCCTCTTCCCGCTAAAAGATGTACCCATAGCATTCCACTGACTGGTTCATCTGTTGTTGATCCTAGAGTACCGCTAGTTAACTGAGATAGACCGGTGATGGAGCTAGTACCGGGAATACCTGGCTTATCGATTTTGTATTTCAAGAATTCTGAAAATAGAATAATGTTTAATATAAGTTTTAGCATTTTGAAGTGGCATTATTAGTAGAGATCGTTATCTAAACATTTTGAATGTGCTGTATAAATTAAAATAACAGCACAGACGTAAATATTGTCATTTCCTGGATCATAGGAATAAGTTTGTTTTTGGATAATTTCTAAAAAACTCAAAGCATCACGAAGTATCAGTATACTAACCATCAAATAAAAAAACACAAAAGAAGGTGTCAAACACTATTTTATTTTTATACATTAAAGTCGGAAGCTAGTAACTATTTTGAAACACAGTCAGTTTTGTTTGACTTTTCTCAAGGCAAACTTGAATTTTCGTGAGTTTGATATCTTCTCTATGTAAATTCCGTCATGCGTCGTTCTGTCGCACTAATAGTGTTGAAGTATTACCTGTCAATTTTGAAATAAACCAATAACATTCCGTAAAATCAACGACGCACAACGCATGACGGATGCTTTATAAATCCGCTCTAAGAAATACCGGGGGCGGGCGTCTCAAAAGTGGCTCACCCCCTATAACTTTTTATTTTTTCAGATAAAAAATTGAGATTTGGTATGTTAATATATGACATAAACAAGGATTGATTGACGTATTCAATTGTTTTCTGTCACTTCCTGTTTCGCCTGAAATGACAACAACTTTTGATTTTTAAATGGTACCCTCGGTTTTTTGTTGCTTTATTCGATAGAAAATGATACTCTGAATAGAATGACATATCACATGTCAACTTTGACATTTTCGAATATGGTTTATTAGAAATTGCAACATGCGATTCATAACGACAATTTGGCAAAATAAAAACACTAAATCACCACAATACACCAAAACACTTTTACTTTTACACTGGACGCGCGTTTCGCTAACCATGTTAGCATCATCAGCAGATGATTATAAACTGTTTTTTTTTTATTTAGTTTATAAAGTTTATAATCATCTGCTGATGATGCTAACATGGTTAGCGAAACGCGCGTCCAGTGTAAAAGTAATAGTGTTTTGGTGTATTGTGGTGATTTAGTGTTTTTATTTTGCTGTGTAACACCAAAGGTTCCAACCCTCAACTGCAAACGACAATTTGACTCGAAATATCAAGTGTATGGTATAAAATTATTCGTAAAAATATACGTTTTCCAAATATGCTAAGCCACCCTCCTTCCATTTGAAAAAATTGAGATATGATTAAAAATACACAATTTGGGCATCTTTTAACCAGCCAGGACAAGACACGAATAACATTAGACGATCAAAACTATTTTTCTAAGACTCCTTGATTAAAAATTAGTGTTTTTAACACAGCAATGGCATTCTAGATTGAAATTTAAAATTCAATTTTGTTTTAAGCAAAAATGTCAAAAGTTGACATATGATATGTCATTCTATTCAAAATGTCATTTTCTATCGAATGAAGTAAAAAAAATACCGAGGGTGATATTTAAAAATCAAAAGTTGTAGTCATTTCCGGCGAAACAGGAAGTGACAGAAAACAACTGAATACGTCAATCAATCCTAATTTATGTCATATACTAACATACCAAATCTCGTTCTTTTATCTGAAAAAATATAAAAGTTATAGGGGTTAGCCACTTTTGAGACGCACCCGGTATAGTTAAACCAACGCACTGAAATGTTATGTTTATGCCTACTATGAGTTTATATTCGTTTGGTCAATATTACTATATCAGAACGAATATAAAACGTAGAAAAATCAGTAGGTGTGTCTAGCATATTGTCATCTAAAATTAAAATTAATATAAAAATATAATATAGGACTTTACCAGCAGGATTAATATCGAGTTGTCGCTGACCTCTAGGAAGAGTACCGCTTGGTGTAGGTACCGGACTAGGAGCACCACCCGATCTCACACTGTCCAAGTCTAATAATTGTCTCATTCGTCGCATAGAAGGCGATCGGGTACTACTTAAAGCTGCAAAAAAGAAAAAAACAAGTGTTTATTTACGAATGCGAAAAAGGCATAAATCAAGTTTAATTAAAACCGCAAATAGAACACAAAAACGGCGAAAAATCAAACAACCTATTTCATGGAAGAGCATAAACAAAAATCCCGGAACGCTCCATTATCCGGTGAAACAGGAAATGTATGTGACGCGTCCCTTTGAACAGACGCTTCGGACAAAAAAAAGGCCGATTTTATCCTGCAAAACCGAACTTTTTTGCATCTCGCTGAAAGTTAATTTAAAAACAAAGCACCAGGGGAGATACTGTCTCGTTAAATCTCCGATGAGAACAAAATTACGTAGAAAGGAAGTTCGAGAGTTCCTCTCAACTTTATCTCAATTAATTTCGTCGGTAAATTATTAACAAAATAAGTTAGAGGTTGTTTTATGTACGATAATATTATGGTTGCTGTGAAAGATCTTTAAATTAAAACTAAAAAATGCAATACACTATCTTAGAACTTTCGAATTTTTTTATACAGGCTGTTTCAAAAAACATGTGCCATCTCTCTTGGGGAGAATCCTCACATAAAAATAAGATTTATTTTTAATATCAACATGGGTCCGATTCTGCTTTGTTTCGTAGCTACAGGGTGTTAACGTCTTAAAATTTTATCGATTTATTATAATTTTCTTCCAAGTACTTTTAGTGTTTCGAATGAAATCTTAGGGTAAAAGTTATTACTATAAATACGACATATTTTAAAGCCAAAAAAGTGTGGACATCGAGGTCGACATATTCACCAGGGACGTGCATATGGGTTATCACTGGAATATTTTTCTAAAAAAGCATGTACGCCACTGACTTTGTTTTCTCTCGCGAAAAATTGTACGCAGTTTAATGCCGATTAAAAGTTGTCTCTTGATATTTTTTCAATTTCGGCCTCCTTGATGAGATAAAAGCAATTTTATTAATTTGCCTTGATCCAAATAAGTCTAATGTACAGGGTTGTTCACCACATACGACACGGAGTATTCTAGCTAAACTATTAGATTTTTACAAATTGTAAGTTTTGGGTTCGTTGAACGACTATTAGAGCTACATTTTAAAAATATTTTTACAAAATACAGAGTGTCCCTAATAAGTAAAAAATATTATAGTTGTATTTTTTTAAATGGAACACCCTGTATATTGTTCTATTTTTGGATTCTACGAAATTGAAATAAAGGTAAATTTGATTAAGGTTTATCACACTTAAATCTTACCGTTTTTGAAATATTTTCAATTTTATAAAACTGCAGTAAAAATTTTAAGGCTTTGTTTCTCCAAGGGTATGAAAGGTTTTAATACTAAATGTTTACTAAAGATTATTTATTGATCAAATATTGTGTTGCAATAATAAAAATTTTACTAGCTTATACAGAGTGTCCAAAAAATTATATTAAATAATAACTAGATTTAAACGTCAATAACTTGTTTAATTTAAATAGAACACCCTATATATTTTACGTGAATCAGATGTACAATGTAATTGTCTATCAAATTGTATTATACCATTTTTTACCTATCTCTTCAAGTTTTCGTAGAAAATGCATTTTCTTATAATTTAGACCTCATTTATCACTATACCCATGGAATATTGACAAGTGAGGAATCTCCCCACGAGAGATGGCACATGTTTTTTGAAACACCCTGTATAATGAACATACCGTGTGGTGCATCGGAATACGGGACATAGAAAATCCCATGTAAATTTTGATAAGGTCACTTATTATCTTCCTAGATGATTTTATGCAAAAATTGTATTAGACTTTTACAAAGAGGCGTTAAAGTTGTACTTTTGTTTAGAATTTCGTTTCATTTGAAATAGTCATTTAAAATTTATTTGCAAAAATCTACCTTCAAATTAACGAAATTTATAATATGGCTCAGAGAAAGCTACTATTAAAATATCAGCAACAATTTGATTGTGTCATTGTCAAATTCGATGTCAACATTTTGTTTACAAAAATTTGGAGGTACCAAATAGAGTAATTTTTTATAAAATAATTAAGATTTTCGCGACTTCTGAAAAAGTTACGATGGTTAAACGGCTGTTAACATGGATGGTTAACATTTTGCTGGAAATAGTACTCCCGCTATGTTCGTAGCTCAGTCTCCGGAAAGCCTATACAACGAATATACCTAATAAAGTTTAATAACGAATAAGTCAACAGTTTAAAGAATAAACCAGAGGTTTGAAACAGGCACAGTATTAAGCACATGGAAGTGTGAAGACAAAAATAATTGAACAGGAAGAGAACAACAATGACTTGAATATTCTGCATGTTGAAGAAAAGAAAAACATTGATCCAGTCTATTGGCAATACAGTAGGAAAAACCACAGGGTATTTCGCCGAACGATTTCTTCCTGTGGAGCACACTCAAAAAAACTTCTTTATAGGCATATTAAATATAGAAATTTAGATGAACTGAAAAAAGACATCTCTGTGGAATGCTAAAGATTCTCCCCTTAACAGTTTTGTATTGTGAAGCGTGAAAATTCCAATCATTTGTGGTATTGTTTGGTTTTGAATGGAAGTTTATGTAAATATTTTGTTAGTATAGTTTAATAAAGTTCGTTTAGTTGCAAATGTTTCTTTTATTCGTTTAATTATAGTGGATGAATGTGGCATGAGCGAGGCCTGCGAGTGATCGAGTAATGAACAGCAAACAAGTCAAACACCGCGAATACTATTCTCAGTTCAACTAATTCTTTTGAAGATGATCATTCCGATTCAGAAAAAAATTAACAACCCTTTCCAAACCACATAAGTTCTTGTAAACAAAAAAAAATGTGACATCGAATTTGACAATCACTATTTTAATAGTTAATAGTCATTGTCAATGACATATTTTAATTGTAGCATTCTCTGGGCCGTATTATAAAATTTTAGTATTTTGCAGGTAGATTTTTGCAAAAATGACTTATTCCAAATAACGAACGAAATTCTAGGCGAAAGTACAACTTTAACGCCTCTTCAAAAATGTCTAATATAATTTTTGCAAAAAACGATCTGGGGTAATAATATCTGACCTGTTCAAAATTTACATGGGATTTCCTATGTCCCGTATTCCGATTCACCACACGGTATACCGGATGCGTCTCAAAAGTGGCTCACCCCTATAACTTATTTATTTTTTCAGTTAAAAAAACGAGATTTGTTATGTTAGTATATGACATAAATTAGGATTGATTGACGTATTCAATTGTTTTCGGTCACTTCCTGTTTCACCGGAAACGACTACAACTTTTGATTTTTAAATGGCATTCTCGGTATTTTTTTACTTTATTCGAAAGAAAATAACACTCTGAATAGAATGACATACAATATGTCAACTTTTGACATTTTGGCACATGGTGTATTTGCAATTATAACTTGCGGTTCGTAACGAAAATTTGACTCGAAATACCAAGTGTGTGGTATCAAATTATTCGTAAAAAATGCTTTTCCCAAATATGCTAATGAGCCACCCTCGTTGATGTGAAAAAATTGAGATATGATTAAAAATACGATTTTTAGCATTTTCTAACTGGCCAGGACAAGGCACTAATAACATTAGACCATCAAATCTATTTTTCCAAGGCTCCTTGATTAAGAATTAGTGTTTTTAACACAGCCATGGCACTCTAGATTGAAATTTAAAATTCAATTTCGTTTTAAGCGAAAATGTCAAAAGTTGACATATGATATGTCATTATATTCGGAATGTCATTTTCTATCGAATAAAGTAAAAAAATACCGAAGGTGCCATTTAAAAATAACTTTAGTCATTTCCGGTGAAACAGGAAGTGACTAAAAACAATTGAATACGTCAACCAATCCTAATTTATGTGATATACTAACATACCAAATATCGTATTTTTATCTGAAGAAATAAAAAAGTTATAGGGGTGAGCCACTTTTGAAACGCACCCGGTATACGTATACTTCAAAATAGTATTATGGATTGAAATTATCCATGAATACTCCTCTTGATAATAATATCATACTGGGCTGAGTCAAATCGGAATCGGAATCGGAATAAGTGAAAAAATCTCGATTTTGGCCGGGAAAATTTTTGGAAATCTTCGAAACACGGATTAAATTAAATGGGGCGATTATAGGGCTCCACTAGACTTATCCATAGAGGCCTCATTAATCGTTTAGCTACTTACCGTTTCCGAGAGGATACATCTTATTTTTATTTACACCTGCTGGTATAATTTAATGTAGCGACCAAATGCCAAAATTTTCGAAGTGACTTCCACGCTTAATTTCAACGTTACCAGCTTAAAAATTACTTAGAATCATAAAAATAGGCCCTCTTCTAAATATTTTTTAAGGATTTTGGTAGCTCGCCCGGACTATGGATAGCTATATTTAGATATTTTAAATAGGTATTTTTTCTTTTTGCGTTTTTACATTAGTAATATGTATAAAATGATAAAATAGGAAATTACAGAAAGTGTATGAGACGTGTCCTTTTGAACAGACGGTTCTAACAGAAAAGCTCTGCAAAACCGAACTTTTTTGCATCTCGCTGCAAGTTAATTTAAAAACAAAGCTCCCGGGGAGATACAGTTTCGCTAAATCTCTGATGAGAACAAAATTACGCAGAGAGGAAGTTTGTGTTTGTACTTTGAGAGATTCTCCTCACTTTAACTCGGTTAATTTCGACGGCAAATAATTAACAAAGTAAGTTAGACGTTGTTTTTCGCAGGATCATACTGGACGTTGCTTAACTAAATATAAATATTTAAAGGAATTATAAGTCTATTATTGCATGGTCATGTTTAACTTGGAATATTTATTTGCAATATATATATGCATTATTTGTAAATACCTATGTCAGGAAATAAACAGTTTGTTGCCTTTAAAGATGAAATTGGCAAATATTCTCGTTAAGTTATTAAAAAAAATCAATCCTATATCATTCAGAAAATTAGACGATTGTAATTTTACAGTTGGAATCGTGTGGGATTTATTTAATTCATAAATTCAGGGGAGGGGAGCAAAATTCTATTTTAGATAGTTTTGAAATTGATTGAAAATAATGTAAGTTTAATTCCAATTTCAATGGCAATATCGTGTGTATCTGTCAAATGCATATGAAAACATTAAAAATATGTTTAATTCGATTTTGAAAAACTCTGATAGAGAAAGATATTTATATTTTAATTATTATAGAAATTCTACCTATTTTTAAGAAAATTTCTATGTAAAATCCGATAAATGAGCAAGCCATCTGCCAAGTAAAATATTTATCTGAATGCTCTCAATCTAGTTAAATATACCGGGTGTTTCTCAAAAGTGGCTCACCCCTATAACTTTTAATTTTTTCAGATAAAAAAACGTGATTTGGTACGTTAGCATATGACATAAATCAGGATTGATTAATATATTCAATTGTGTTCGGTCACTTCCTGTTTCACCGGAAATGACTACAACATTTCATTTTTAAATGGCATCCTTAGTATTTTTTGGTTTATTCGGTAGAAAATGACACTCTGAACTCTGAATAGAATGACATATCATTTCAACTTTTGACAGTTTCGCATATGGTTTATTTGAAATCATAACATGCGGTACATAACGATAATTTGACTCGAAACATCAAGTGTGTGGTACCAAATTATTCGTAAAAAATGATTTTTTCAAATATGCTAATGAGCCACAATCGTTCCATTTAAAAAAAATGAGATATGATTAAAAATACGATTTGGGCAACTTTTAACCAACCGGGATAAGACACGAAAAACATTAGACCATCAAATTTATTTTTCCAAATCCACCTTAATTAAAAGTTATTGTTTTTAAAATACGATTAGTTTTTAAGCAAAAATGTCAAAAGTTGACATATATATGTCATTCTATCCAGAGTGCCATTTTCTATTGAATAAAGTAAAAATATACAGAGAGAGCCATTTAAAAATCAAAAATTGTAGCCATTTCCGGTGAAACGGGAAGTGACCGAAAACAATTGAATATTTAAATTCCCCTAATTTATGTCACATAGATACGAACATACGAAATCTCTTTTTTATATGTTTTAATAAAAAAGTTACAGGGGTGAGCCACTCTTGAGAAAATTAGTGAAAAAAATCATTTATATTATATCCATTTTATTGTTAATGGTTTTTCCCTAAAAATGCAGTCAATAATTCCATCTCTTATGATTATTAAAACTTCAATATTATTTTATAAAACACTTTTGAATGTATATTTGTATCATCACAGATCATGTTATCTGTGGTATCATAATTAAATTTAATTAATCTAAAGTTGATTTTAAAAATAATCTAGGTAGACTCAAAAAACTTTCAAATTAATTTTAAAACGTTAATTACAGCCAATAAAATATAAATTGTTTTAACAAATTCAAATTTAAAAAAAAACTAGAAAAGAATATTGTTTAGTCGGTTTTTATGTCAATAAATAGAAATATTAAAAATAGATTAGATAGTTAGATATTATTCATAGAATTTGATAAGAATTTCAAAAAAGTTACCTTAGAATAAAAAAGAAGCATGATAGATATATAGAATATGTATTTGTTCAAGCTGAAAGCTTCATGAAGTACTAAAAGGCATGCAAAAAATTACCTGCTGATGTAATGTGTTGAGTAGACAAAGATCTTGCTGGAATGCTAGGTTGCTGCGATCTTGAAAAGTGCCTATCTAAAGTTGATGTTGTTCCAGGTCTTCCGTAGGAACTATAAATTCCACTCTCCATCTAGAATTCAGATATTTTTTTTTAAGAATACACAATACATATCTGTCAATACACAGATGATCTGAGATTTCAAGTATGATCAATTTATATTAATTTGGAGGTACTTTGTTATATTGGATATAAACATTTTGACACTGCTAACCAGTCAAAGAGTAGTAGTACAAATTATAGAAAATGTTTTCAAAAATATATACAGTGTTAGCAATTTAAATCGATCCACTTTTAATAAGCGTTTCTATACGTATACACATTCTATACGTATTACTAAAAACGGAATACGTTGTAAAATGTTACGGTTATATTGATATACCGGGTGTGTTTCAAAAGTAGCTTTGACCTACTCAATTTTACTACAACTTTTGATTTTTAAATGGCACCCACCTACGGTATGTTTTACTTTATTCGATAGAAAATGACACTCATATGTTATGAATAGAATGACACATCATATGTTAAATTTTGATAGTCGCATAAAAACGTATTTTAAATTTCATTCTAGAGTACGATGACTGTGTTAAAAACAGTAATTTTTAATCAAGGAACCTTGGAAAAATATATTTCATCGACTAATGTTTTAGTATCTTGTTCTGGCCGGTTAAAAGATGTCCAAATCGTATTTTAATCATATCTTAATTTTTTCAAATGGAGCAAGGGTGGCTCATTAGCATATTTCTGAAAAGCATCTTTTATACGAATAATTTGGTACCATACACTTGGTATTTCGAGTCAAATTCTCGTTATAAACCGCATGTTATAATTTCAAATAAACCATATGTGAAAATGTCAAAAGTTTACATATATGATATGTCATTCTAATCAAAGTGTCATTTTCAATCGAATAATGTCAAAAAATACCGAAGATGTCATTGAAAAATCAAAAGCTGTAGTCATTTCCGTACCAAAAACAATTGAGTACGTCAATCAATCCTAATTTACGTCATATACTAACATACCAAATCTCGTTTTTTTTTATCTGAAGAAATAAAAAAGTTAGAGGGGTGAGCCACTTTTAAGGCGCACCCGGTATTAAACTATTTATTTTTGTAAATGGGACATCCTATACACTAGAAGTCTGTTGATAAGCCGTATTATTTTAGAAATAAAATATGTTAACATGCATATTTATATTTTATAAATGTATTTATAAAATCTGTCCAAGGAGCCAGAAAAGATTTTGACAGATGACATCCGAAAAATGACAGACAACTATCACTGTCATGCATGTATTTTATCGCTGAACTGACTTTAGTAATCAAAAATGGTGTCAAAAAACATGTTCTATTGTTTTAAATGTTTGATGCTATTTTGGGACACCCTGTACATTGATATGCTCTAAATAATAAGGGTGACTTTTATAATGTATATATGTATAATGTTTTCCTTTACTTAAATATACACTGTTACATATACTAATCAATAACATACTTAATTATTTTACTTACATTTTTCAATGCATCGTGTATGTTCTCCGCACTGTAAGTGAACCTGGCTGCTCTCTGTTGATTGAGAACATCCCTGGATGCTCTGATCTGTTCGTAAATGGCCGATGTCGATGGCGTTCGGCTGAGCCATTGTCTGTATTCATCTGAGGAGAAGACACTAGGTGACGAAGGTACGCGCCCTTTTTATGAAAATAATGAAAGAAATGCTAGCGAGTGCAGAATGAATTCTAGTGATAAGCGTACAGGCACAGCTTTTTACTACTACTAAATTTCATTCTCAAACAACGAAAGAATAAATTGAACCCAAGTGTTTTCTAGAGTACAATTCTCTTTCAATAAATGAAGTGACTGAAGCTTAAAATAACAAATATAGTATGTCATGCCATATCGAGAAATTTAATATAAAGGTTTCAGAACCGGGAAATCCCGGTTTTGAAAGTACCGGAAATTCCCGGAACATTTTGACGATCACAGAACCGGGCATCGAAATTAATTCCCGGTTCTTTCCGGACTCGGTAATAATAATTAAAAAAAAATTGTGTCTGTCCTTTGATACTTATTAGCGGTCGAAATGAAACTTCTAAATAAGAAGTGTTGCTATTTTTTATTATTCTTCCTTCTGTTCTCTTTTAAAGTTCTTATAGTGTTTATTTGTAATTATTGAAGTTTAAATATTTTATTTTATTATTTAGTTTAATGTTATTCAATATATTAGTAATATTTAATGATATGTTTTAATAGATATTTGCATTTTGAATTCAATATTTTAAGGTTGTTTTCTCAAATTTAGTTGGTTTATGTTGTTTATGTGAACATTAAGTTACCTATATATTTTTCTTGCTTGTGTTCGTGTTTGTATTCATTGCTTGTGTTCATTTTAATTTTCTCATCACTGATATTTAATAATTTGATATTAGTTTCAATAAAAAAACTTAATTTTTATCGATTTTACTTTGGAAAACCATCCCTTGCTTTCTGATCGATGAACTGTACCATCATTGAACAAAACTTACTCAGTACCGAAGAAAAGGGAAATCCCAGTTCCTAAGAGGCGCGGTACCGAAATTCCCGGTTCCGAAAAACAGCTCCGATTTTGGAAACCCTGAACTAGACATAAGTATATATAACTATTATTATTTTAACGCCTATAAACCTTGACTTGATTCGTTAACGTATATAATTACCACTAGGAACATAAGGACTAATGTAATTTAGTGTATAATGAATACACAATTGTCCTGAAAACTATACTAAATACCTTCGAATGCAAATGGTGACAAATAATGGCTTGTAAGCACTAGCCCTGCGTCGGGCCCTTGATAAATGATCGGAATTGTAATTGATACAGAAAATTATTCGCACAGATAGAGCTCTTGCCCTTTTGTTAGGTCGCTGAATACGTAACTAAATGGTAATAGGATATTGGATTACAAGTTTAATTTATACTGCCAATGTTAAGTAATATTTTTGGAAGTAGATATTGGGTTAAATAGCAATGTTTAATGTATGGTATAACGTATTTTTTAGTTGTTACTGCAAAGTATCGTATGATCGAAAAAGAATAGGTTTAAGTTAGTATGATAGCGATTTTATTTCCATGCCAACTCTGATGCCATTTATTCTAAAATTAAAAATAAAAAAATAAATATTTTGATATCTTCAGAAGGTCTAACTTGTATTATAATTTATTATTGAAGCTAATAAAAATTTAGATGAGTTCAACTACGGTAGCTAGCCTGGTTTTACGCACAGATTTTGCCAGCAGAGACATAACTGGGGGTATTTCGGTTATAACGATTTTTTTAAAGGTACATAATTAGAATTTTAAAAGATGTTCATAAAACATTTAAGCATTAGTTGATTAAAACGAGTATACCATTAATATTGAAAATTATAATTTATCCTCTCATAGTATATGTCTATTTAATTTTTTGATTATGTAATGAGCACTTTGTATTGCTCACTTGTTTGATCAAATCGGTGTGAGAAGTTGTGAAGCTATAAAATGTTGTTTCGGGAGTGTTGAATATCCGGGAAAGTTGAGTTATTTAATGTTATTGTACCCAACAACTACGTAAGCATGCTCTCCCTTACGTGTTAACATTTTTTCGACAATCTTATTGAAATTGTCACAAGTCACTAATTTTTGATAATTAACATTTGAAATTGTCATAACAAAAAGCAACGCCCAGTTCGGGTTCCTTTTACTACCTGAAACAAAAATTAATTTAAACTTTTTTAACTTTATATATTTTTTCTACGACTAGCATAGAAAATGCAGTTTGACACACGAAAAACTCGATCTGAAATTGGCGTTTTGCAAACTGTCGTGTGCTAAGGATTTAGCGCACGAAATGTGTCTTAGTGCACACGACATGTGTCAATTTTAACATTTTTAACCTCCAATGTTTAGCTGAAACGCCAAACGCGACGCATACGTCAGAAGAGTGTCATTATTACATCGTAAATTATTCCACAAAACTGACAAAAACTGAGTGAGTCTGCTGCTCATAAAATAATTAACTAGAAAGAAGTGTCAACTCTGTGTTAAATCGTGGTAAAATCGTGGAAACACGATACGCCACCAAAAGCCTTCGTTGTCGTCTGGAGAACTAATTTTCCAATTGACAGGTTGACATGATAAGGACATGATGGCTTAATTTTCATTTCCGTTTCCGGTTATTCAATGGCGGGCCCTCTTTCAGTTCAAATGTATTTTGTTTTTTTTCTTTTCATAAATAAAACCAAAAAATAATTTATTCACATATATTTATTTCAAATATGGAACAACGTGACTAAATAAATATAAAAATATAGAGGATTGTATTGTTTCAATACCAATTAATTAATTATATGCACTTTTAACGTAAATTAGTTAAGGTATAAGCATGACTTACAGTAATTTGTAAATAAACACACGTATTCGCAGACTTCAAGGACAGAAAACGGACACGGGAACATGAAAACGGGAGCCTTATACAAAAACCTGAAAACAGAAAACCAAATTTTTTTATACTAAAATTAACAATATAAAAATATCAATAGGTATGAAATATAAATATACTGTTTAAAAAAAGCGTCCATTATTCCCTGAGAGACCTGGCTTATAAATCAAAAAGAAGCAAAAAGAGACTTTTAAGTCGGATAACATAATCAGATTATCAGTCCGATTTATTGCATTATTGACAATAAATCGTACATACTGGATGAATGATAACTAATGTTGGCTATAGTTAAAAATGATCTTACCTTGCTGTAAATTGTTTCCATTTTCAAAAAAATCGCCGATCAAAGAGATTATAACACCATTTTCTTGCATCTAAAAAATGTAAAAACAGTGTTTATTTACTACCTATTTTTCATATACATGGGACATACCTACTACTGCAGAAACGTCATTTTCTCCAGGATTGTTCATGTAATATATATTTTATATACTTTATTACCTTTATATTTATAAATTTCAGCCGAAATATTAAATTGAACTTCCAAAACGAAACTAAACGGAATGAATAATGAATTAAAATGGCGTCGAATATTTTCTAATTTGTTCTAGAACAAATCTGAAGTTGTCTCTGAAACTGAAATCTGTCAATTCTAAACTGTGAAGTTAGACAATAGTTAGACAAAAACAATGCTGTCCTTGTCTAGGCGGCCATACTTGTCGTGAGGAGAATGACAGGAATGACACTAATGACTGTTTCCAATTTTCCTATTTCACTGCACCCCCCTGCTGCTGCTAATTTGTAGTCGTAGAAAAAATAGCGTAAAAAACTCGTTCGAAAACTTCTTTGTACACTCGTTCGATTTGTGGCTCTTGCCTGCGGATCGAGCCAAGAAACTGTCGAACTCGTGTGCAAAATGTCGTTTTCAAAACTCGTTGTTTAATATACTATTTCGATCTTATGGTTCACTGTGGAGACTATATTAATACACAATAAGCTTTAAGATTATAGTGATCTACAAAGTCAAAGGTCAGATTAATATTAGTATAAATGGTATATTTTGTATTAACATTAACAAAGATAATATGAGCGCATTTGTAAAAACTGTTTCATAATAAAACAATTTTAATTTAAATATATCCACCTTTTTTTAAATAAATCTGACACAAATCTATTTTCGATTTTTGTGTGGCATCCTGATACTTCGTATTCAATTCAGTCTCGTGGCTATCACAATAAGTTTGGAAACACGCGAAAAGTTTTCTCGCAACAGCCAAGTTTCCAGGTCTTTCCAATAAAAAGCCTGTTTTCGTGTCTCTCTTTGTTCTCTTTCTTCTTCCCTTCTATTTCTCTCTTTCCCTCTCTATTCTTATTGCCAAGTAAAATTTCGATTTCCAATTTGAGCCAAAGTTTTGCAAACATCAGAGATTGGAGATAAATATTTAATGTCTCCCAATTCGCATTATTGTTGACAGGAAATCTGAAATTTATGCATAATGTAAATTTTGTTTTATTACGTGATTGGGTAGTTGAATAAAAAAGGTTGAGTACTCTCAATTAATAAATTGGGGAAATAGAATATGAAAAGTTTTTAATGTTTTTTTATAACCGTTTAGTAATGTATAGTCTGTCCAACGAGAAGATCCTTGACAGTGATAGATGTGTCTGTCATTTTAATTTCAAAGTAGTTTATTTTATTTTACAAAGAAATAAGTTGGTACGACTGGAACGCATAGCAGGAAATATTTAAAATTTGATTGACAAGATGACAAGTGATTACTTCAAAATATTGTGAAAAAAACTGTATAAAACTGAAAAAATGCAATCGAGTTATTTTATTTAATAAAAACGGTATGTGTTAATACAAAACAAACAAGAACAAGACACTACATACCAAAAAATATAAAAAAAAGAACTATTATTTACTTTCAAGCTTTATGAAACTACCCGCATTTATGATTATATTTATCAATATAACTTATGTACAAATACAAATTTGTAATATTCCACAGGAATAAATAAAACAGCATAGGTAAATAAAACAAACTATTTTATTAATAAAAACTCCTACCAAATTTTATACCTTAAAGGTTGATTAATTAACTTTAATCTTAATTTTTTTAAACCAGTACCTTTTGACATTATTTTTCTGCAGTACTAAAATCCATTATTTGTCTATCGTGTGATGTCGATATTTTACAGCTACTCCAGTTTTTAGTATGTGTTTAGTTTGA